AATATTGCATTACAACCTAACCAGCAGTTAACCCCCCAACTTTCCGCTCAACAGCAACAGCAGCAGCGCAAGACATTGTTCACTCCTTATCTTCCTCAGGCGAACTTGCCTGCTTTGCTCAACGATGGCCAGCTCGTCACCGGCATCTTACGTGTCAACAAAAAGAATCGTTCCGATGCTTATGTCACAACCCCTGACCTTGACGCAGATATCTTCATCTGTGGCAGCAAGGATAGAAATCGTGCCCTTGAGGGTGATCTTGTTGCTATCGAACTCCTAGATGTCGATGAAGTCTGGAGCCAAAAACGTGAAAAGGAGGAGAAAAAGAAGCGCAAGGATATCACTGATACCAGGAGTGGCAGCTCTGCTGGCCTTGAGAGAGGCAGATCGGAATCTGCTACAAATGGAGAATCGCAAGTCGCCCCTGATGGAAGTATTCGTCGACGGGGTAGTCTGAGACAACGCCCAACGCAGAAGAAAAACGATGACGTCGAAGTTGAAGGCCAAAGCCTCTTGCTCGTCGAAGAAGATGAAATCAGCGATGATCACAAGCCGTTATATGCGGGACACGTGGTTGCCGTTATTGAACGAGTACCTGGGCAGATGTTTTCTGGATCCCTTGGCCTCCTCCGTCCTAGTAGCCAAGCAACAAAGGAGAAACAGGAAGCCGAGCGCCAGGCGAGAGATGGCGGCCATAGCCGACCTCAGCAAGAGCGACATCAAGATAAGCCCAAAATTGTTTGGTTCAAACCCACCGATAAACGCGTACCTCTTATTGCAATTCCCACAGAGCAAGCTCCCCGGGATTTCGTGGAGAAGCACCAAGATTATGCAAACAATATTTTCGTGGCTGCAATCAAAAGATGGCCCATTACTTCTCTCCATCCATTTGGAACTCTAGTTGAGCAGTTGGGCTCCATGGGCGATTTGAATGTTGAAACTGACGCCCTTCTAAGAGACAACAACTTTGCTTCCGATGAATTTTCGGATGCTGTCTTGAAGAACGTTGGTTTCGAAAATTGGACTGTGGAGAGTGAGAGTGCCGCGTCCTTGGCCGCTCGTCGTGACTTCCGCGACGAAAAGATTTTCACCATTGACCCCAATGGCTCGAATGAGTTGGACAATGCGATTCACTTGAAACAACTTAGCGACGGTAAAGTAGAAATCGGCTTCCACGTTGCCGATGTCACTCATTTTATTAAACCCAACTCTCTCGTGGATAGAGAGGCTAAGAAACGTGGCACTGGGGTGTACTTGATGACTCGCATTGTGAACATGCTACCTCCTCGGCTTTCTAGTAATATCTGCTGCCTCCAGCCAGGTGAAGACCGTTTCACGATCAGCGTAGTCTACCACATTGACCCCAAAACGGGCATCGTCGAGGGCGAACCTTGGATCGGTAAAGGTATAATTAAGAGTTCAGGAAAATTAACATACGATGAGGTCGACGCAGTTCTTTCTGACAAGGACGTTGAACTGCATGCGGCAACTATCGCCGACATAAAATTGCTGAATGTAAGATTTTGGACTTTAACCCGTGCAGTCTCTTCACTAACAACTTAACTTCAGTGTATTGCAACCAAGTTTAGAGAAGCCCGCTTCGGGCATCGCTCAGCGGACGTACCACCCCTAAGACTCTTCTATCAACTTGATGACGAGAACGTACCAGTCTTTCACAATATCTTTGATTCCTCCTCGGCTCATGAATTGATGGAGGAATTAAGTCACAAGACAAACTCACTCGTTGCTAAACGCCTCTTTACAGTTTTGCCTCAGAAAGCTCTCTTGCGTCGTCAAGCATCGCCCAATTACAGAAGACTTGGAACATTCGTTGATAGGATGACTAGGCTTGGTTATGAAATGGATTCTTCGAGTAGCGGGAGCCTACAGACTAGTCTTTTCAAGGTTCAGGATGTAGATTTGCGAAAGGTGCGTATGCATATCTTGAAATCTAGAATATTTCTAACTAGCTTTCTCAGGGCATGGAAACACTCCTTGTCAAAGCTATGCGCCGCGCAAAGTACTATACAGCTGGGTCTGTCCGAGACGACGATCGACAGCATTATGCTTTGAATCTACCTCTTTACACTCACTTTACTAACCCATCACGACGTTATGCGGACATCGTTGTCCATCGGCAGTTGGATGCGATCATAAATAACGTAGAATTCTCAGAAGATATTGAGAGTCTAACCAAAATTGCCGATCATTGCAACAATAAAAAAGACTCTGCTCAGAATGCGCAGGAGCAAAGTGTGCACATTGAGTCTTGCCGGATCATTGACAAGAAACGCCAAGAAATCGGTGGTGATCTTGTCAGTGAGGGCATTGTCCTTTGTGTTTACGAGTCCGCATTCGATGTGCTTATTCCAGAATTCGGCTTTGAAAAACGAGTTCACTGTGACCAGCTACCTCTAAAGAAGGCAGAGTTCCGCAAGGATGAACGTGTACTTGAGCTCTATTGGGAGAAGGGCGTGCCATCTTCTGCGTATATTCCCGAGGACGAGCGTCCAAAGCCTACGCTAAGTTCGCGGGCTGCTAATGCCGCTGCTGCTGCCCGACAAGCAGAAGAGGCGAGGCAACGAGCGAGAGAGAGAGAGGAGGCACAGAGGAAGCAAACTGAAACCGGAACCATGTCGACCGACGATGTTGACGCTCTCTTCGACGATGATGATGACGACAGCATGTCAGAATTGGCAGAAATGACTGCTGGGGTATCATTAAATTCGCCGGCTGACCGTTCTACCCAGAGCATGCCGCCATCCCCAACAAGGAATGGCCGTGTCCAAACCCCCCACCGGACTCAATCCGACCCGAAAATAGCGACAAGCGCGGCTGAGACTCCAGAAGGTAAACTCACGAACAAAGAAAAGTACCTTAAGCTTTTCAAGCTCCGTGAAGAAAATGGCGAATATATACAGGATGTTACGGAGATGACAAGAGTCCCAATCATTCTCAAGACTGACCTTACCAAAAGTCCACCGTAAGTCATCCATAAGCTATACACACTTTAGCCGTAGCTAACGTTATTTTCCAACAGTTGTCTGACAATTCGGTCTGTGAATCCATATGCACTTTGAATGAAGTAACGACAAACTGGCAGTTTTCTGCATAATATCCACTGGAACCTTTAGACGTTATCTCTTCACCTACGAGCCGGCAGCCCCGCCTATTATCGGGCCTTTTGAACATACACCATCTTGCTACTCCGAACCAGTTTTTGTCAGGCTAGCTTCCTATTGATATAGCGTTCCATACATGAGGTCTCCTTTTCGGCGTTTGGCACCATCGTTCCTGGCTGCGCATTCTCCCACGTCATTTTATCCAGTTACAAGCTGAGAGCGTCAGGTTGAGGGGGTGGGTTGATGGACCTTTACGATTACAGACTCAGCATAAGTGATCTGGTAGCGAACATCCATTTCCAGATTATTATAACCAGAATGTTGGATTCTACTGTTTATGGATTGCTACTTGGACAGTACTTGTCTAGTAGCTTGTCTATATACCTATTTCCGATATACATGTTTGCGAAAATTGTTGCGCCAGACAGATTGATCCAATATGTTTTTAATCGCCTATTGCATGCATTTATTTATCATTGTTAATGCGCCTTTACATAGCAAATCAAAAAATGTGCTTTTTTTTTTTTTTTGTGAATCCCCCTCACAACACACAATTCAACATGGAGTAAGGAGACGTTGCAATCTCGATATGACCCGAATATCCAAATCTCCCTTTCCATTCGATCGGAGTTTTGAACCCTTGACTCTCTAATGCCCGTCAGGGATGAGAGGAATAGCGAACCAGCGGTTGAAATGCAGATTGCTTTACACTTTCCCGGGGGCCCAGTGCTTCATGCTAGAATAGTCCATGGCATTGGTATTTCTGATGGTGGATTTTACGATGAATGAGCCCCCGCCTCCTCTGGCTGTCAGATAGCTCTTTGTGTATGAGTACTCCGTACGGAGTAGTTAGAGAACAATATACTTTGCCAGTTGCGTGTGGCGTGTCCCAACTCCATCTACAGGGGAGTTTTTGTCGTCATGGGATAGGAAGTGATGCTATTCCGTACAAGGATATAGAATATTTTCAATCTTTCCCACTCTTTCTGGGTAGCTTTTTTTTTTTTTTTTTTTTTTTTTTTTTGGTTTTCCATAACCAATAGGTCTTGCACGGGGAAGAGTTGATTTTCTTTGTTCTTGGTTGGTGTATCAAACTCGTGAACGTACGGAGCAGCTAGTTCTTCCAGTTTGGGGTAGCTCTCTGGTTAATTAACTATGGAGGAATTGCTATGTCTAGCACCCTGTAGTTGAATCGGCACTGTGTTGCTTGGTTGTGCTGGTGGCAATCCATCTGAATCAGTGTCTAGCCATTTTGAAACTTCAACGAAGAGCGTTCGAATTCTGAAGGGAAGAAGAGTCGATGTCGAAAGAACGAGAAACTCCAGAACTCCTCCTCGGCGCGCCACCAGCATGGTTCGCCCGCAGCCCTTCCAGGGTCTCCATGAGCTTCTCCGGGCGGTGCCCCCCAGCTGACGATTAGTAAAGAACGTCGCGGTTAGGGTGGCAATATCGCCAGGGGCCGCCAGGGACAACTTGCATGGCCAGACCAAGCCAGCAACTAATGGTTCCAGTTCCGCCCTACCCTTTGTTCTCCCAAAGCTGTAAAATCACTTGAACAGTGCAATCATGTCTAGCCGTCCGACTTTCTAGCCTCTTCACATCCACATCTGCTGTTCAGCGGGCCGATCTCCTGTGGGCCATGCCCAAGGGACACGACGTGGATACTACTCGGCTCTCGCCCGCACTGAAGCAACGCCTTTGTTGACGCTGGCGGCTGGAGGTCCCACTTAATTGATGCTATTTTAAGGCTCTGCCACCCACACTCGTCTGGGCTGGTGACGCGCTGCGAAACACTTCTTACGAATGCAGCTGGGTTCATCGCCTGAAAGATCAGCAAGCATTTGCCAACATTGCGGACAAGCTTGGTGGCTTGAAGGGAGAAGCTTCAAGAAAAAAAAAAAATGCCAGGCATTCGGATAAAGGTGGAGAATTGGGATAGCAGCAAGAGCACGATTTGGCAGGGCAACCCTTTGTAAGATGAAACGGCTGGAAATCCTTCCAAATAACCAATCGATCGATCTGTGCGGATGGGAAGAACTCGAGCAGAGTACGGAGTATTCTGGATGGTCGGCTGTTTTCGACTGGATCGCCTGGATCGTTTGTAGCCGCCTGCGTGGAATGGTGGCTGATGGACCTCAAGCAAAATGCCGCGACGTCAAGGGAATAATGGTCAAGGAACTCACTGTGCTTTGATCGAGGGGCGTGGATGGCTGGCGACCGGAGCCCTCCGTAGAGATGCAGCCAGACTACCTCGTTCATGCGAACATGGCCTTCACTGCTCCACGAGAGGATCGCTTGCTGGCCTCTTCGCCAGCCCGGCGATGCGCCCATCCAGCAGGGCTCAATAACCAGCCAAGGAGGCGGTGATCCTGGCCGAAACAATTCTACGCTCGGTGGGCCTGCATCGCCCAATAGAGTTGCGATTGTCGCAGGGATGAGGGCCTCAAATCGGAATGCGGACAGCCAGCCGCCCAGCGTGATTCCTATAAAGGATGACGAATCCCCCGGTGAGCTGCGTTTTCTTCATTTTTCTTTCCCCTTCTGCTTGCATTCACCAACAGCTCACCCGTGTATAATAATAATACCTTCCGGTTCTTTTACACAAGCAACCCACGACCCTTCTCGCTTCCTACCAACAAAACTCACAGTCGTTATCTGTTGACTTGCTTCAAAATGCGTTTCTCCTTGATCTCGTCTGTCCTTGCCTTGTCGGCTGTTGCTCTTGCACAGACCACTAGCGGAGAGGACTCGCAGGTAGGCTCAATCTTTTGGGTTATTTCGATATTTTGACCTCAATTCTGATTCTTTGAACTACAGACCATCTCTCTTGACGACCCCGTCCTTCCATCAACCGGGTCGGTGGCCGTGCCATCAGAGACTCCTGCCGACCCAGCCACCGATACTGGCAGCGCCTCCATTCTCCCAGTCCCACCAACTGTCACCATCTCGACAGATGGCCCCATCGGCACTGCCCCAGGCGGCACTGGCAGCAGCTCCATGCCCGGAAACGGCACCTCGACCTTCCAAACCGAAACCGAGAGCCGTACCGTCAGCGCGCCAACTGGTACCGCCACCACGACTTCCTCTGAGGGCTTTGCCGCTCCAACCAACGGCCCGCAGGCTGTTGGCCTCGGGCTTGGCCTCGGTGCTCTCATCGCCGCTTTCCTTTAAATGGACTTTCGATATCAAAGGCGCTTAATGTTTAAAGAGAAACCCACCCGTTGTCCTGTGAATAAACTAGATTGTATGCTACTCTGGACCTGGGCACGATAAAAAAATTATTTTGCAATTTGGAGGATTCAATTTGGCCCAAGGCTTTTGGCATTGTTTTCGAATACCCTTAATAACTGTCTAATTGTATGCGGATTCCAGACCTGGCGTTTAGATTGCCGTCATCTCCCTTCATACGTGTTATGTGCTTTCGACAACATGAACTTTTTTGGGATCGTCTTTTGAGAATTTAATAAAAACACAAATAATACAGCCAATAAAGCTTCTTATATCAGAGTGTTGACGTTATCCATTCATGCCAGAGTTGCACTGCTTTTTGTCTCGGCCCTGTTCTGTACACATATGCACGATTGATTTGCTAGGTCTCACTAACGTCCGGTTTGCATTGAAAGGTTTCAGTGATACCAAGGGGTTTTGCCTGGGGCGAGTGGCACAGTCAGCTTTGCAATAACCAACCATTGTCAAGCGTGGTGTGACTTTGTTGTTTATTTTGATGATTTGCGGTCTGAGCACGCAGCAAAAGTTGAAATGTGTCCACGTTGTCAGGGGCAAATGGAAGATTCCTCGTCCTCAGGAACAAACCTCGTCCAATCACCGAATTCGGCTTGGCGCCCGATGCAACACACGCCAAGCTATTATGTAAGCATAGACGCGTCGAGCGACGCGTTTGTTGTGGGAAAGCAATATTGCCTGTTTGGGTTAGGAGTGTTGGTAGCTGGATCAACGGGACTGTCAACAAGCAGGCATAACAATCATGCAGTACAGAATACTTCTGAACATTCATCCTCTGAGCTACAACACATATACAGAGTAATACTAGTTGATCATTTTATTAGTGGCAAAGGTGCAATGGTAAGCATTACTACCTAACCGCCAATCAGTCTTATTACCCTCGTCTAATCTATGAAGTAGGCTTCCGGCTTTCGAAGACTCCTTGCAGACCATACTTCCCTTCATAACTCCGACCTCCCGCCAAACTATCTCTTCCCTCCTTCGACCACTCACTCTTCCATTCCCGATGATCTACGACAGCTCACGATCTTCCTCGCCGGACCACCAGTAACACCCTACTCCCAGGGTCTATGGCGCCTGCACCTCCGAATTCCAGAAGATTATCCCAGAAGCCCACCAAAGGCGGCATTCAAGACGCGGATATGGCACCCGAATGTGGAAGAGTCAACGGGCGCGGTATGCGTGGATACTTTGAAGAGAGACTGGGATCCGAAACTGACATTGAGAGATGTGCTTATTGTGAGTCTTGCCCTTTTCTTTGCGGTTTACTCCAGTCGTGTGTCACGATGTTAATTCATTGGGAATGACAGACGATATCGTGCCTACTTATTCATCCCAACCCGGACTCGGCTTTGAATTCTGCAGCTGGTGCACTTTTGCAAGACGATTACGAGGCGTTTGCGCGTCAGGCGAAGCTAATGACATCGATACATGCGCCCGTCCCACCGCACTTGAAAGAGTTGGTATCCGGAGCGAAGCGAAGGGGTGAGGATCCAAGTGCAAAACTCGAGGAAAACACACAACTATCGGTATCTGTTCAAACGAGCAAGACGACAAGAACGACGTCTTCTGTGGTGATGAAGAGAAAAATCTCCTCCGTGGGACCAACATCCACATCCAATTTGGATATTAGACTTAAGAGCGATTGCTTACCGGAAGAGGGGTTACCAGCCCAACCAGAGGAAGAGCCGGAATCTGACGGCGAATGTGGCAGTGCATCAAAAGAAAACGACCCTTCACTGTCCCCTTCTCCCGTCATTATGCCAGCCCCCAGCCCGCGCAAAAGTATTCTTGGCAAGCGACCGCTTGCTGCTATTGCGCCGCCCGAGTCAGATGAGATTGTCGTCATCAATGACGACGACCAGCGTGACTTCAACTCTCTCAGTGCGTCCGAGAGGAATATTGTTTCGAATATAACCAGCAGTGACTATAATCAATTACGAACCCCACAACGCAAATCTCCTAAGCTTTCCGAGCTGGGAAGAGGGTCCATTAAAGCGCCTTCTCGATTTCATATTTCAAGTGATGTCTGCAACAAACCCGGCGATATATTCAAGGGAAATATCGCTGCGAGTTCGGCTCGAAACGTCCGACAGTTACCTGTCCCCGATCCATTTCCTATGTCCAATGATTCAAATTCCTCTCTTTCCTGTAGTGGCCTCGGTTTGTCCAATGCTGCCTACGAAGATCCATCTAAACACTCCAGAAGAATACCTATCGCCCGTAAGGTTCCAGGTTCTGGGGTCAAAACGAAACCGCGAACTGGACTTCGACGGTTATAAGACAGGGTCGTTTTGAGGGATAAGCGGATGCGTAGCAATGAAAGAAGTATCCTTAAGAAGAACATCTTGTATTTGGCATTCCACATCCCAGTAAGACATCTGGTAGATGGATATTCGTTATTTCTATTACCTTAGACTGATTGGGTAGAATATTCTAAATCAAATTAGAATTCTTTGCCGCACAGAAAGGAGACGACTCCGCTATATTGAAAACTTCCTCCGTCGATGGATGGATACTTAACCTCCCATAACATCCACCAGAAGCTGCGATTATCTGCTACATACTTCAACGTATTCCACTCAAGGAGCTTGAATATGTGTCTCGATATTTCGCGATTTTCGGAGCTAGGCTCTGGGTAGCACTCAGGCGTCTCCGTCTGGATAGCAAAAATGCTTTGAGAATATCGGCCGGCTCGCTTCCATGAGACTTTGATGTGAGACCATAGATAGTGATCCAAGGGGCATATTGGAGTTCAAGAAAAGGGTATTTTATAGTACAGTTCAATGCAGGAAAGATACCTGTTGAAACCAATCGTCAGAAAATCTTTTCCAAGTAAACCAAATCTTGCTCATAAGAACTTACTCTCCATCCCCCGGAATCATTACTTCGTTGACACCTCATCCCTCTGCCTCTTCCATTCCCGAAACTCCTTCCTCTTCGCCTATCACCAAAAAAACCCGCGTCAGCAAACAAAAAACACCCACCCGACGGAGGAGAACATATCCCATTACCCTAATATCAATAAACGCCCGACGCTCCTCCAACCCTAAAAACGGATTCTCCGACCCCCCCTTCCTCTCAATCTCTCCCGCCCACGCACTCCAGCTGATGGGCTTCGGCTTCTCGGCGCCCAGGACAAGGCCAAAGATCACAAGGACGACCGCGACTAGGGTTTCGAGAGTGATGTCGAGGGGAAGCGGGTGTGTGCTGCCGTATAGAACGGAGTGCTCGTGGGCGGAGTAGCCGCTGTGGGTTATTAAGGGGGGTGAGTTAGCCAACGGAGCTGTGTGATCTTGAAGGACAAGGGGCGTGGTAAACTCACGCGTGGGCAAGGAAGATGAGCCCAAAGGTGGTCAAGAGACGTGAGGGGAAAGTCATGGTTACTGGTGAAGCGGAGCCTGCAGATGGATAATGCTCCGGGAATACAATCTGTAGGCAATCGACATTTGGATGACGTTCCTGGTTGAAGTTCTGCCGATGCCAAGACCGGAGAGAAGTTTTGAGCTTTTTATGCTGGGTGTTTTGGTCAAGCCCAAACAGCACCCGTACACCTTTGAGCTTATGCTCAAACCGAGAGAGAAGGATTACACAATACAAGGTGATGGTGAGAAATTCATTAAATCATTTTCATTGATTTTAAGATAGCTAAGACTCATCCTAGCTTTCAAACGCATTTCGCGCATGCAAAGATTATCATATCTAATCATTATCCATCACCACCTCATTAAATCTGATTCATCGCTTGCTTAGAGTTTTTGCATAGCAGCCTATAAACACGTTAGACGACGAATTGAAAACGAAAAAAAAGCAGGGGTCTTACAATATCGGTGGACTGGACATGGTCCTCATCCTCTTCGATCTCCTCTTGGAGGTCGCTAAGAGAAATTTTCTCATCCTCGACGACAAGATTGATTTGCAATTTCTTGATGCCGAAGCCAACGGGAACGAGTTTCGAGGCACCCCAGACGAGGCCGTCTTTCTCGATAGCTCTAACATTGGCTTCCAATTCCTCTAAGCTGGTTTCATCATCTGCGCAAAGTTAGCACCGGTTTTCTCTCGCCGTTGAGCATGGAATAGCCTACCCCAGGGCTTAACTTCCAAAGTAACAATTGACTTGGCGGCAGGCTTGGGTTTAGCGGCCTTCTTCGCCTTATATTCAGCCAATCTCTTTTCTCTTTCGGCAACGACTTCTGGGTCTTCTTCTTCCGACTCGCTGCCAAAGAGGTCCATGTCATCATCATCTGCCTTTACTGGAATCTCGGCATTCTCTGGGCCATAGGCGGTATAAGGCTTGGAGGAATCTCCTGGCAAAGAAGAGAAGTCTGACTCGTAAGAAGCAATGTGCTTATACCAACGAGCAAGGTGGGGATATTTAGCCGCATCAGGGGCAGCCTTGAGGGCCTTATAAGTCACAACATCGGCTTGAGTAGGAGCATATCTATGTACAACAGGTTAGATACGTTATTTGACAAGAATCTCTTCATAGTTGCACGGCGGAATAGAATACAAGACGATCAGAGGTGCGAAAATCGCTATTGTGCGTAGTCATCCAGCGGTGTCTTAAGCCGCCTCATAAACACGGACCAATTTTTTCTCATCATAAGCGAAAAAGGGTAGAGGGAGAGGGTTGGGAAGAGGGAACAGTGTGCAGAGTAACTTACCCCTCAACATAACTGTGTGTGGACAGGTAGATATTGGCGACTGGGCAGAGTGATTAGCCAAAGCCAGCGAATGTACGATTGAACAGCAAAGGTAGCTTACTGGCAAGGCCAGAATCCGCGGAGAAGTCAGCGAAACCCATTGTGACAAAGTGTGGTGAGGAAAAATCGAGAGGTGAAGAATGTTTTGTGAGGAGGAGGGGTGGTTGGAAGTTGAAGGTTTCGATTGTTGTTCAAATTTTTCCTAACAGGTGGAGCTCGTGCCAGGGAGCGAAGGGTGCTGAGTCATCGTGTCACCTGACCGTCGATGACCGCATCAATAATTTGCCATTCCGGGGAAATTGAAGCTGCGAGAGCTTTCGAGAACGCTCGGAGACGAGGGAAGTATATAACACCGGGTTTGGGAATGTCGAATCCCTTTCGTCTGTGTCCTGGGACACTGAACTAACTAGCGCTTTTGTTTTCATTGGCAGCATGTCGTCAATGGTATTATCTCAATTGTCGAGGATTGGTGAGCGTTTTACGGTGCGAGCGTTTCCAGGCATATCTCGATCCCGACTACCTAATCGAGTCTCCGGACACCGCATTGCTCTATCTCGTCGGCCGATATCCTTCTTCCCTCCATCCTCAAGACTCGGCTTCAGTTCGCCAAGCTTGGTTCGCCATTACGCAAATGGCCGACCGCACCCTCCAGGCGGCACTCACCGCATGAATTTGGGTGGTGAACCCGAGAAGCCAGCCCTCGAAGAGTTTGGGGTGGATCTCACTGCTAGGGCTAGAGACGGCAAACTTGACCCAGTCATTGGTCGCGATGCGGAGATTCACCGAACGATCCAGATTCTATCTCGGAGGACTAAAAACAACCCAGTGTTAATCGGTGCAGCTGGTACAGGTAAAACTGCCGTGCTGGAAGGGCTGGCGCAGCGTATTGTTCAAGGAGATGTACCAGAGAGCATTAAAAATAAAAGAGTGATCGCTCTAGACCTGGGCCAGCTCATTGCAGGCGCGAAATTCAGGGGTGATTTCGAGGAAAGACTTAAGAAAGTACTGAAGGAAGTTGGCGACGCTCAAGGAGGTGTGATTCTGTTTGTGGATGAGTTGCATACTTTGCTTGGTCTAGGGAAAGCCGAAGGAAGCATTGATGCGAGCAATCTCCTAAAACCTGCTTTATCCAGAGGCGAGCTACAATGTTGTGGAGCGACCACGCTGAACGAGTATCGGCAAATTGAGAAAGATGTGGCGTTAGCCCGTCGATTCCAGCCGATTTTAGTTGATGAGCCTACAGTTGCCGATACCATCTCTATCTTACGAGGAATTAAGGATCGATACGAAGTGCATCATGGTGTGCGAATTACAGATGGAGCACTCGTGGCCGCTGCCACATACAGCAACAGATATATCACAGATCGATTTCTTCCAGATAAGGCTATTGATTTAGTTGATGAGGCAGCTTCGGCCTTGCGCTTGCAACAAGAATCGAAACCTGACGCCATCCAGAAATTAGACAGAGAAATCATGACGATCCAAATAGAGCTTGAGTCACTTCGAAAGGAGACGGACATCGCTAGCAAGGAACGCCGGGCTAAACTTGAAGAACTACTGAAAGGAAAGCAAGATGAAGTCGGCGAGCTAAACAAAGTTTGGGAAAAGGAGCGCGCTCAAATCGAAGGAATCAAGAAAACCAAAGAAGAATTGGAGCGAGCTAGGCTGGATCTTGAGCAGGCGCAAAGAGAAGGGAACTTTGCTCGGGCGGGTGAATTAAGATATTCTGTTATACCGAACCTCGAGCTAAAGCTCCCAGAAGAAGGCGCCACGGTGTCCGCTACGGATGGCCAGAATCTCATCCACGATTCTGTTACCGCTGACGATATTGCTGGTGTTGTATCCCGTACAACAGGTATTCCAGTCAATAAACTAATGGCTGGTGATATTGAGAAGTTGATCCACATGGAAGACACCTTACGAAAATCCGTTCGTGGGCAGGACGAGGCACTTTCTGCTGTCGCTAACGCTGTCCGAATGCAAAGGGCTGGCCTCAGCGGTGAAAATCGCCCATTGGCGTCATTTATGTTCCTTGGGCCAACAGGCGTTGGAAAAACCGAACTATGCAAAAAGATGGCCGAGTTCCTGTTTTCGACGGAAACCGCTGTTGTCCGATTTGATATGAGTGAATTTCAAGAGAAGCATACCATTAGCCGATTGATTGGGTCTCCCGCCGGCTACGTTGGCTATGAAGATGCTGGCCAGCTAACTGAAGCAGTCAGAAGGAAGCCGTATGCGGTGCTCTTATTCGACGAGTTTGAGAAGGCCCACCGTGATATATCATCTCTACTCCTCCAAGTACTAGACGAAGGCTTCCTTACTGACGCACAAGGCCATAAAATTGATTTTCGAAACACATTAATTGTTCTCACATCAAATCTGGGTGCCGATATCCTTGTCGGAGCAGACCCTACACGTGGAGATGAGATCTCCCAGGAGATTAGATCAGCCGTGATGGCCATTGTTCAGTCGTCTTACGCACCTGAGTTTTTAAACCGAATAGATGAGTTCATCATCTTTAGGAGACTCTCCCGACAAGCATTGAGAGATATCGTGGATATTCGGCTACGAGAACTTCAGGCTCGGCTTGATGATCGTCGAATAACCCTAGAAGCAGGGGATGAGATCAAAGACTGGTTATGTGATAGAGGTTACGATCCAAGATACGGAGCTCGCCCACTGAATCGGCTCATTTCAAAAGAAATCGGCAATCATTTAGCCGACAAGATTATTCGTGGTCAAGTTACAACGGGCCAATCCGCCCGTGTTGTCTTCAATTCTGACAAAACCGGGCTCGACATTGAAGCCAGCTCCTCCGCATAATACTTCTACGGAACTAATTTAGCAACATTCATGATTTATGATTTACCTTGCCTTTGTACAACATTTTGATTGAAAAGTGATTTTTGGAAAGGGGAGAGGTAGGGAGTAATTTTACTGTATGTATATTGTACCATAGCACTGAAACCCGACTCCTCAAGTGAAATATACTGGAATATTTTACGAATTACCGCATTTGGTATTTCTCACCTCACTTCCTGTTTGCTCCTCCAGCGACGAACTATTGCAATTGCAATAATCATTTCTTTCGTTTCTTACTTATTGGACCTGTGCGTACGCCACTGAGATCAGACAATGCCACCACATGTACCAAAACGGCCATTCGCGAGGCGGAAAGCTGCCGATTCGTCGTTTCGCAAGAAGGGTGCCCGTGTGGCTGCAAGATCTCGTGGTTCGAGGGTGACACAGTTGCGGGATTCCACGGTTAATCCAACCATCCCGGAAACACCTCAAACGATAAACAGTACCGAAACTAACCAGGTTGAAACTATTTCTGATGACGATGGAGGTGATGATTTGTGTCAAGTTGTCATGGCCATTGATATGAGGGACCGTGGGACAGTCGGCTGCTCTTATTATGTTGCTGACGAAAAGAAGCTCTATATTCTAGCAGATATCATCTACGGAGGGATAGATGTAGTGGAAACTCGTGAGTATTCCATAAATTTGTTTTCGGACTGGCGCTGATAAAAAGAAAGTCAAGCTTGATGTTGAACCTACGCTTGTCATCCTTTCGATCCGTGCAGATCGAGACATACAGGACCCAAATAAAATGGGAAATGACGATGCTTCTTTCGGCAACGGTAGGAAACCCAGATTCTCCTAGTCGTTGGATGCTCGTCTGACATACAACTTTGTCTAGATGCCCAGTTCAGGCTCCCTTATCATCTAGATGTTCGTCCGTCCCAAGAGTTCAATTTTGAAACTGCTAGGACTAAACTTTCAAATCTCAAACTCGGGCAAGCGACTGATATCCCCAAGTTTCTCGTCCCGGGAAATGAGTTTTCTTATGAACGTACAGCTAACGGGGCGGATGGGGGCTTTACGGAAGAGCAAGGAAAGTTGTTGCACCTTGCTAGCACTGTCGATATGGAGAACCACGTTTCAATTGGATGTGCTGGTGCGCTTATAAGTTACCTTCAGAGAAAACGTTCAACCCAGTATCTTCAAGGCGACTTAACGGGTGATCACTTATCGAGAATCCAGGCAATTGAGATGCTGAGCCTGGATAGTAATATGTGAGTACTAGCTCCTGCCTTATCAGTAGAGATAAACTTACAGTTCACTGTAAGGTTCATTAACAGGGACACACTATCATCGCTTCAAATTATCCAGTCAGAATCTCATCCAAATGCGTTTAACCAAGGCCCTGGACAATCATCTTCCGGTTCAAAGGAAAGCTTGTCAATTTACGGCCTCTTTCATCGATTCGCTCGCACTCCGCAAGGCAAGGCAAAGTTGAGGCAGCATTTTCTTCGTCCTACAATCAAGCCGAATGTCTTACGCGAACGACATGACTTCATTAGCACATTCCTCCGTTCTGAAAACGTTGATGCTACGGAGAAACTGATAACGAGCTTAAAAGGAATCAAGAATCTTCGTCCGGTTATGGTTCACCTACAAAAGGGCATCAGTACAGGACATGCTAGGTTCAAGGGCTTTAAAAGCGTCGTTTGGGCTACTCTTCTAGAGGTACGGTAAGAGAAATCGTAGAATAGCCATACCAACTAATTTGTCAATAGTTTGCATATCATGCCATTGATATCCATGAAATTCTGAAAGAGGTTATTGGAATGGAAAGCCTAGATTTGTGTGTGAAGGTATGCTCGAATATCAAGCGTTTCCTTCCTTTGGCTAATGTGATTAGGGAATGCATAAATTGGAATTGGCCAAACTTCATCAGATCGGAAGGTCCATTTACGAGACTGTATTTACATGCATAAACCCTTTGCATCTTGCCGAGTCTAACATGTGCGTAGGTGGACCTAGAAGCCTCAGTCCAGGAGCACCGAACTATCGTTAAGCCCAGAGTTGACCAGGGATTAGACAAATTGAAAGAAACGTACAATGGCATGGATTCGTTACTCAGCCAGGTCGCAGTTACGATTGCAGCTACACTTCCAGAAAGACTGGGTAATGAGCTGAATGTTATTTATTTCCCTCAACTTGGGTTTAATATTGCAATACCACTCAATGAGTTTAGGAGACCAGTGTATGATGGAGGAGACGAAGGATGGACACAAGTGTTTACTACCGAAAATCGCGCTTATTTTAAGGATTTTCGTATGCACGAGATGGACGAGAAACTGGGTGATATGTACGGGAATATATGTGGTTTGTCTTTTTGGGATTGAAACTTGATGAATTACATAGTCATACTGACTATTAATAGAGAAAGAGATCGAGATTGTTTATGAGCTTGCTCAGAACATTCTGAGTTATGAAGAGATGCTTATTGAAGCGTCAGATGTATGCGGAGAAATCGACAGGTACGTTATTACGATTTCCATGATTTGACTACCTGAAGAGGAAGGCTTACGCAAATAGTCTCCTTGCATTTGCTCAGGGGGCAAGTTTATATAAATTAATACGACCGCGAATGACAGAGGAAAATGTTATTGACATAACAGGAGGCCGGTAAGAAGAGTTCATCAAAAGGTGGCTTGATATGCTGATGCAAAACAGGCATCTCCTACACGAGGCCACTGTACCTTCGTTTGTTCCCAATGACACGCTTTTGGTAGGTGGGAAGGGTTGCAGACGGGATCACGCGTTCGAAAGCGATCTTGAATACTCTGATGGCTCTAGGGTTCCAGATTCCCGGGCTGGTCCAAGTATGCTTCTGCTTACAGGACCCAATTTCTCGGGGAAAAGTGTGTACTTGAAACAGGCAAGGAGCCAAAATGTCTTCGAATAGAGACGAATCGTTAACCCAAGTTAGGCTGCACTTATCGTCTACATGGCCCATATAGGGTGGTGAGTAATAATCTTCGAATTCTCAAAGGCCCTCTAACGGATTTTTAGCTTCGTTCCAGCGGAGGTTGCGACGATTGGATTTACTGATAAAATACTTACTCGCATATCATCTCGAGAGACCGTTTCTAAAGTAAGACATTGTCACTCTGACCGGCCGCTGCGACATTAACACGGAAAACAGACTCAAAGCACATTTGCAATCGATTTGCAGCAGGTCGCTTTCGCGTTGGCCTACTCGACAAATAGGAGTCTTATAGTCATTGACGAATTTGGCAAGGGAACGGAGTCTACCGGTAGGTCTGGAACGCCTTGCCTCGTCTTCTACTTCTAAGCTGCCTCTACTACAGACGGAGTGGGCCTAGCATGTGGCCTGTTCGATTATCTTTTAAATTTGGGTGACGAACGCCCAAAGGTCATTGCTGCGACACACTTCCACGAGATGTTCGAGCATGGGTTCTTACAACAAAGACCCGAACTCCAGCTTGGATATATGGAAGTCCAGATGGATCATTCCGCCTCGGAAGTGGAAGATCAGATCACATATCTGTACAAGTGGGTGCCAGTTGTCGACCATATGCTGTCTCTTGGATTATGCTAAGTCAAACGACGAATTATTAGTTTTCGATTTGGCCGTAGTAGCGAAAGCTTCGGAACAATGTAGGTTTGTGACTTTTGAACGTTTCTGTAGTATAGTGCTCACGGGCATAGATGTGCTGCGATCAATGGTATCGACTCGGCTATTGTCTCACGAGCGAATGAAATTGGTGAATTATCACGTCGTGGAGAGGATTTGGTTACTGCCTGCGCCAAAATGACAGCTGTAGAAATGAATGAACTCGAGGATGCTGTAAGTTGACAGACAACCAAAAAGCTAGAGGGAATTTGAAAGTACGCTAAAGAAAGAATTGAATAGGAGAACATAGCGAGAAAGTTCCTTGAAGCCGACTTTTCTCAACCAATTTCGAATGGCAGTGAAAAAAGTCAAGGGGAGACAATCGCTTCTGTCCTTAACAGTATCATCGAAAGTGGTAGTGATACTAGCCCAAGCGGAAGGGCTGAAGTTGACATGACTGAGAGCACATATGAGATATAAGTCTGGAAAATTTCTGAGAGGAGCCCGAATAATCAGCGGTTATATGGGGAGTTTCCTACAATCAAGGTTGGGGGACTAAGTGGTCAGGGGGATGGCCTGAATTTTCGGAATCATAATCATGTCTTTTTTCAAGTATTCGGTATATCTACAATTTGACGCTCTTGACCAGGTTTTTCTTGATACCCGTCAACTCTCCTCCATAGCCACCAGGACCCTCTCCTCCCTTGTATACCTGGCGTATGCTACCCAGCTTCTTCTTCTTTTGCTCAAACTTCTTCCTCTTCTTCACACGAGGATTCCGTACGTCCTTGTTTCTCTTTGGCGCCAAACCCTTATTTTTCTCGATAGCATACGTGATGGCGCGCTTTCCGTCAGGGCCGATTTCTTCTTGCACTTCAACGCGACCGCCCTCACGAGCCGCCTCGGTATATGCGTCCGCAAGTTTCTTCTTGTTCTCTTTCTTCTGTTTATTCCGGCCAGCGACGTAATCATAATAATCCTCACTATCGGAGCCACCTTCCCCTCTAATCTCCTTCGCAGCTCGATAGTCCTCGTCATCACTGCCCCCACCAAGCCGTTCCAACTCGTTAGCTTCTCGACGGCCTCGTTTTTCAGCCTTTTCATTGAGGCGGGCTTGACGGTCTTTTAAACGCTCACGATACGGTATATCTGCGTCGCCGCCGGCTTCACGTCCTGCGGCACCACGTTTGTTCGCTTTTTGCGCAATCTGAGATGTATAGAAGCGTAAAGACTTCTTTTTCTTGGCCTTCTCTGCCGCTTCATGGGCCGTGAGAGAAGTTTCATCACCAAAATCTGAATCATCATCAGTAGGGATGGGTTTATTTTGTTTAATTTTCAATTTCTGCGACCCATAAGGTTCCAGCTGCTTGGAGAGTTCTTCCAGAGCCGCTTCCGTTTGGCGCAGCCGTTCTGCCCGCCGTAAATCTGACTCTTTTCGAGCTTTATCGGCAGCTCTTTGGGATTTAGTCTTCTTGATTTTGTTTGCTGATCCTGTTGCCTTCAATTGCGAGTCCTCAGCTCTTGAAACAGCTTCCAGAACACGCTCCTTTGGCATTGCATCGCGGACAAAGTCAGAGGATTCCGGTTCTTGAATACTTCGCACATCCTCCCACTGCGTCCGACAACTGACTAGAGTTTCCATGATTTGATGTTCTCTGAGCTTGGCTGGTGCTATTGCAAGACAACGTTCCTTGCAACCCCGCGCGGGTGACGCTAGAAGCACAAGATACATGCAAATGGCTCCTAGATACGCGGAAAGGGCGCGCCATTTTATCAATGGAACCGAAATGCTATTACCCACACCCGGTATTATTTGTGCAACTGCTTCTGAGAGCTCCTGGTGTACTTGTTGGAGGACAACGAATTCCGCTGACAGCGGCTCGAATTCGGGGTATCGCTGCTTCAATAATGACAAGCGATCGGCAGAGCTCATGTCATCAGAAATCTGTAGTTCGGGTAAAACTTCGGTGACCGTATCGCCTTTGATTTGGTCGTGTTCCCCTTCGTCAGGCTGCGGTACAAACCAGTCCGCTTCGTCCACCCCGAAATCCGCATCATTCATGGACTGCAGCTTTTTCTGTTGGATTTTCTTGGCTTCCGCTTCCTCTTCCAGCGCATCGCCCTCGGTCTCAATGATGTCTGCATCGTAGTAATCCTTCTTGGAGGATCCCCATCCACCTACTTCGTCTTCTTCAGCTTTCGCGTCTTCTGACAACGACGGACTCAAGGGTTCCCGGCTCCGTAATTTAGATATCTTCTTCGGCACGGAATGCCTAGTATCGTCCTCCTCGTATCCTCCTTCGTCTATCTCATCGTCGTCGAAATCGTCTTCATCCGAAGCTGAAAGGTAGGCATGTATCTCTTCGTCCGATACCTGCAGCAGTTCCTCTGCGGTCCTCTATCAGCAAAGTCACTGCGATTGATCAAGGCGTATGTTATACCGTCTTCTGCTAATCTCCGTCTCCGTTTGGCCTCTGGGCCTTCTTCCAGCAAAACTTGATCCCGTCCAGCCTGAAATTCATCTGCGGAGTCGGCGAATTGTTCGTCTGGATCGAACCGCGAGTTGTCATTGTAGGTAGTATATTTCGAGGCCGATTGGCCGGCAGAGGCCCTAGACTTTCTTTTTTTGCCCATAACTGTGGAAGTACTATTCACAGATCTAACTGCTTGCGACGGTGAGGTTTATATGCAATGCATCAGTTTCGCAAAAAAATTATCCGTGTAATGGTCATACGCCCTAGTACGGAAAAGATCCAATCAAATTACGAGGATGGAGACTGCGTATTGAGTTGTGACTATACCGCTTTAGGGAAGGCCATACTAAAGCTTGCATCCATCAAAAGCTCCTGAACAGCGCGCACTTCTTGTTTTGACTGCAAAATATCTACTTTCTATCAGTTAAACAGGTCTTTGTTGCCGCTCATTTCTTGTATCTTGACGTTACTTCTTGCTCTGAACAGGGGCAGGGTGCTAGTGACCAGTTTTCCTTCCTTTTGATACCCACCATAGCTGTAGCAAGAGCTTCGTTTCCGTTCCTTCTTTCTTTTCTAGCTGCTATATTGCTACGTATTGGATACTTTTACGGTCTCTGGCCCTTTTCTCCAGATGACATTCTCAAATTTTGAACTGGGAATAGCCGTCGCTCTTTTTATCCCATTTATATATCTATCAGTGACAATGCTGGGTTTCACCACCACCAATAATTTCGTGGTTCAGGGGAGGGTATGCGAGTTCTTTTCTGAATACTGATATATGAGCTAATTAGTTTCAAAGACGGTTGTGATTACAGGTGGCTCAGAAGGCATGGGCAAGAGTGTCGCCATGGAGCTGGCTCGAAAAGGGGCAAACGTGGTCATCGTGTCTCGGACCGTGGAGAAGCTTGAAGCTGCGATAAAAGAAATCAAGGTATGGAAAATGAACGTATCCCAGCCAATATGAGCTGATATTCATCATCTCTAGGCTGCTGCATTCAACTCAACGAGCCAGAGATTTCACTACATCAGTGCGGACTTGAGAGACGCCGATGAAGCAGATCGAATGCTCTCGGAAGTGACTGCGTGGAACAATGACATGCCTCCTGACATCATGTGGTGCTGTGCCGGACAATCTTTACCTGGTTATTTCGTCAATACCTCGCCGCAAACCCTAAAGGATCAAATGGATACCGTCTATTGGACCGCTGCCTTTACGGCCCATGCTACACTAAAAAGGTGGCTTGTCGCTGCTTCGCCTGGTCAAAAGCCTGAGATTATGCGCCGTCGCCATCTTATCTTTACCTCTTCCGCAGCTGTGTTTGTTCCCATACCCGGATATGGCCCTTACACTCCGGCTAAAGCGGCAATGCGCGCCCTTTCCGATACTTTGGTCCAAGAAATTGAGGTTTATAACGGAGCGAGGACAAATCCACGAAACATTGCGCCACCAGCAGATGTAAAAGTCCATATTATCTACCCAATGGGTATTCTTTCACCTGGATTCACCTATGAGCAGCAGATAAAACCCGAGCTAACCAAGCTGATGGAAGAGGCGGATAAACCACAAACCCCTGAGGAGGTTGCGAGAATTTCTATCAAGGGGCTCGAACGTGGCGAATATATGATTACAACGATGCTCGTTGGAACGCTTATGAAAGCAAGCGCCATGGGAGCCAGTCCACGCAACTATTCAATTCGCGATACTGTCACAAGTTGGGTTAGTAGCCTTGCTTTCCTCTATGTTATCCCTGACTTGACTTCAAAGGCCTGGAATTGGGGCCGAAAATATGGCGTTCCAGAGGCAAGTGAGCGCCGTCGTAGCTGATCCAGCCCGAGGAAAAGCTCTACACTTTGTACGTATTTGTTATCCAGACAATCAAAATCATAAGATCAAAGTCCAAGTTGCCTATTTAAGCGAAACAGTGATGGCAGGGGCCTTCAATGGCTATTGTTGCCAAACACATTGTTCCTTCCCGAATCGAAGAACCGTTCAAAATGGAGAGCAGGCCGGTTGAACGACCACCTCAGGAACATTGCCGCTGGCATGCCATTCTCTCCTTGACCTGAGAAAGACTCCTTCGATTCACAGTGCATCCGTTTCATTACCAAAATGAAGACGCTTCTTGCGTTTTGGCTTCTGACCGTCCTCGCGGCAGCAATTGAGCCTCATATGGTGGAGCAAAGTGATCCTTCCGCCATAATCCCCGACAACGAGAGCCTACCATTGGAACCGGTGATTGCGTGTTGGAACTCGCTTGACTGTTCAATGGGGCAAATCGAAGCGATGAAAATGAAAGATCGCCTAGCGTTTCTGCAGTTCATGGCGAGATGGAAGCTTGGTCCGCTGGTGTCTGTCAACCAGTTCAGAGCAGTTGAGGGTACCATGGACTTTTTCATCAGAAAAAGTATAGGGGGTCAGAAGACCTGGATGTCTTATGTCAATGCCGCCGTCGTGGAAGCCATCCAGCGTGGCGCGGCGATTTCGTTGGATGAGTCCCAAAATACAGGCGGTAATCCAGCCGCATTGAAATGGGCAGACTATTTCGACCAGCGGAAAGCAGGAAAATTAATGGATCGTGACGTGAGCATTCAGCTCCTGACTCTAATTATCTTCCCCTTGCCAACTGGAGTCATTGACAGACGCATGATCGTGCCTGGGCGCTTGCGGAGCAAACTGCGGTCGAATACGGCATCCGAGTTGCCGACTCCAAACCTGACATCCAAGCACCAACTCTGAGGGAGCAACGATGGCAGTACTCCACAAAGATCTACCGAATGTTGATGCAATACCGTCGAACGCTTCTTTGGCTTATCAAAACGTGGGTTCTCTCAGTTCCGGAGTGCGAACATATGACTGGATAAGAGATGGCTAACGATATCTCATAGTGCTTTCACTTTCACCAACCCCAGCTTGCCAATGGCCTCGGAAGCTTTCATGGACTGGTTCACAGACGTAACAGATGCAAGTTCAACTGGATTCTTGGCAGATGTTGTCTGGCGACTGTGCGCGCTAGGTCTATCTTGGGACGGCGAGGAGCCAATTCAAGAAGGTCAAGCAATATTTGAGTTGGCCACGGATTTTTGGGAAGAGTTCCAGATGAGCAAGCATCTGAATTATTAGCTAGATCAGTAAGCAAGATGGATCTGCTGATTTCGGAGCGGAATAGCGTATCAGAAGGCTAGTCAGATTTTGTAGTGTTTTAGTAAACTTATTCGATGCGAAATATTTGCGGAGTACTCCGTACCTTCTGCTGCATGTAGTGCATTTGCATTTCCTAGGAGTTCCATTTGGTATTTGACTAGATCTCATCTTGATATTATTCGATCTTGCATTAAATTGGAGTGGAAGCCAAATTTTGACACCCAAGTGTTATGCAATTTAGAGGAGAATAACCGGATTGAAACCGCTTCAAGTCTGCGCAGAGCCTGGTCAGCCGTTGAGGGGTGCAGTGACAGATTCCCAGTCCTTCAATTTCCGGTCTTCCTTCTCTGCAAGTTTCCTCTCTATAAACGCCCCAATCCCTTCCCTCTCGTCTTTCGTCAACAACCGAAATCGATCTTCCAGGTCACCAGCCCCAAAAAATCTCCTATCGATTTTTGCCCAGTAAATCATATCAAACGCCCAACTCCTCCTTGCTGCATAGTTCACCCAAAAATCCCCAGTTTCCCAGCTCTCTTTCATGTATCTTGAAAGCCTGTCATTTTCTGTGATTATGCCGCGTCGGATGGCATGTTCTTCCTTCTCTTGCAAAGCTTCAAGGAACGTTTTCAAGCGGCGTTCGTACTTTTGTGTCCAATCGTCCAACCCTTCGGGCCAATATTCAGGGAGTTCGAGTAGTAGCCAGAAGGGCGGGCTTCTGGCAAACTCTGCTGGTGCCGCATAGGTAAATTCCCAATCAACCGCTCCAGTAACCCTGAATTCGGCATCAGCGAGGACGTTAGCTGGACGGAAATCGTCGCAGAACAATTTGAAGGGGCCGTGGTCATATTTGCAGAGGCGGCGTTCCCGGGCAAGCTTGCGGAACAGACATCGGGCAATATATTTTTGTCTGCAATCTTCTGCTGAATGGATAGCATCATTCCGTTGATATTGTAGGTGGTCCATATGCATCTCGGCGAGCGCGAGGTAGTATGAAGATGCTGTTTCAAAGGTTGATTGGGGTAATAGATTTCGCGGCAAGTTTCCCATTTGGACGAGTTCATTCATATTTAGAGTCAAAGGGCGGTATCTAGCAGTCCAAACATCGTCAAAATCATCGTCCTCGTCTTCCCTCCCTATACAGCCAATTCTCGAGAAGGAAGGTTTGTGCATCTGGAGCAAAATATCGCTCATCTGTCCATATGCAAGCTTAAGTCGATCCTCAGATATCTCGGGATACAAGACTGGCCTCTCGATACCCGGGCGGTCCGGAATGTTAAGTGCATCAACAAGATCATGCTCATGATCAAGATAGTCCATCACAACGAATGGACCCATATTGCTTGGACTTTCTTCTGCCGTACCGTAACCAAGGACGTGGGGGACAGAAAAGCTCATGTGTTGTTCTAAAAAGCGCATCACCGAGATTTCCCGTTTCAGCTTTTCCTCTGGAAACATGGATGTACTCGGGCATGGGAACCGGATTATTGCAGAACGGCCATCTCCAAAGGTCATGCGCAGGAAAACGTTGAAAGCTCCTTTTCGAGGTCCAAGCAAGGTGTCAGGAACACCCCCCCTTTTATCGGCTAAGATTGTCCCGGCTTTCCTTAGAATATCGCGGTTAAAGAGTGTATCAGTTTTCCATTTTGCGAAAATCTCATCTCCCCTGTCTGATGCAAGAGAATCAAATTCCATGCATTCTGCGTTTGTGACTGGTGCAAGCGCCATGGTTGAAAGCAAAGGATGATGGAGAGCCGATGAATGTCAAGGCTCAGTGTAGAAGGAAGAATATAGCATTACTCCGTATGCGCACGGTTATCGATATTGAAGAAGCAAAGTCAGAAGGCGCACAGCCAAAGATTCAGCCTTCATCATTGCTAATTATCCAGAATTCAAGCAAGTCCAAAATCAACGTGGGACTTGGGCGACCAGACCGCGGAAAACGGGAGTGCCTGGCCGGCAGGGTCCCAAGCGCCGAGTTTCGCACACGGTCATTGGTAGAATAGCAGGGTTCATTGGCCGGGAATGATAACTGATGTCCCGCGAAGAGGCTCGATTCTAGATGGATATTTCTGGTAAAAAGCCAAAACGATGAAGGATCAGGTAGTAGGATCTTGGGCTGTCGAGAGGAGGGTTGCCAAATAGTGAGGGCCCGGTTCGTTCATGATTGAAGGTTGTTGGTGAGGGTTGGCCCTGAGACGAAACAACACGAGTTGTTCCGTGGCAATAGAGGATCTCTAGGGCAAGCTCCGCAAGGTAGGCTTTCTGAGCCGAATCTTTGGAAACCGGTGCAACTTTTGCTTGTTTGGTAAGAGTTACGGTTGATCCAGGTTTGATAAGGATTTGGGGTGATTATTCACTTTGGCAACAGACGTTCTTCTACCTGTTGCTGATTTCCCTCAAAGAGGCTTTTTCATATTCTGGATATAAGGCCCTGCCTACGAGTTACTTTCTCGGAGGGATCGCAAAGCGAGTTGAAGCACATTTATCCAGTAATGGCAGCGCGGACCATTCATCGTCGGGGATCAGGGTCTCTGGAAGCACAATTGGTGATAGCGTCGCTGATGACGCGTTGGAAAATATGGACGATCTTAATGTGGATGATTTGGCCGAGGGGATTATAAAGAGATCAAGAAAGGGCGAGGCCTAGGAAAGTAAGTAAAAAGGAGGATCGATGTGTAGATACGTTTGGATCAAGGGTTCGTGACATATTCGGCTGTTGTAGATCATGCCCTATAAGCGTCATCTGGTGCGCGTTGAGTACAGCGTTATGCTGAATTTTGAGGTCCTAGTTAGCCGTTTAGCCCAGCCTCGCATATTTAGGGATTCCCATTAGCAAGCGATATTCTAGGAGTTGCGCGGCCAGTACCAAATGGGCCTTTTTCAAACGTGTGACAATGAAGGTCGGAATATTGTATTGCAAGTTTTCGAGGTTACTATTTGCTCCCTGCAATAAGAGGTGCTTCGAAAAAGAGATCACCTATGTCATATGCATAAGCGTACATGTGTTTCAATGAAGTTTCGCAAATTTCCCTCTCTCGCATACCAACAAAAAAGAACATTAAACCGTAGCTCCCTTAACCCACATCTACCATTTCATTTCATGAGGCTTGTCGCCCGTTCGCAGGCTGAAAGTGGAGGCAAGGTAACTGCCGAGGAATGGCTCTTTCTTGATGGTGGCCAAAAGAGTCTGGTCAATGGCCTTTTGGTCGGCGGCGCGTGCGCTGGCGACCTTCTTCTTCTGCTCAACGTCCAGACGTATTAGTTTTCAACTACCAGAATTTGTCGTTTCTGGCCCGTAAATAGGGGCATCCACATCCTCACGTACCTCTGGCTTCTGTCCGTTCTTGAAGAAAGCTTCTTCACCCTTCTTCTCGGCGGACTTCTCGCGAGTGAAGTAATCAGGCTGGGATGCCTTCTCCAAGGTCTTTGAATCCACACCCTTCAAGTCGATTGTCAAACTGGTTGCGATCACATATCTGGCATTTACTCGTCGGAGGGGAACACCGTTGAGCTTGAAAGGACCGGTAACGAGAAGCACACCCTGGTCGAGGTGCTTGAGCAAGACAACCCGCTTTCCGCGGAAACGGCCAGCGAGGAGGATGAGGATGGTTCCCGGTTGAAGGCTGGGACGGACCTTCGCAGGATGAGCGGTCTTGCGAGTCTAGATAGAGTAAAGCATTCCGTTAGTTATCTCCGCAGAACGACCAAGGAAAGCAATTTCGATATTTTGTTTGTGCATGGCTTTTCGTGCGAATTTCAATCACCGCGTTGCTGGTTTCGGTTTCAATGCGCTTCGAGGCATCTCCAGGCTTGATACGCGGGTGCGCGCACACACACAAACATGACGGCCGCAGAATTGCAAAACAGAGGTAGAGGCGTATACTGACTTTCTTCAGCTGGGGCTCATCAGTCGTGGGATACCACTTCTGTGCCTTCTGGTGCGGGATCACTCTCTCGCCCTTTCCAAACTTCTTCGTCTGGCCAACAGACTTCGAGTCCGACATATTGGCTGCGGTGACGAAGATTCCGGAAAAGAAATTGGAAAAGTGACTGTTCCGGGTTGTCGACGGTGGGAGTTGCTGGAGGAGAACTGTTGACTTGGTCGCCCAGAATGCACTCTTTGATGTGAGATTGATTTTGTGGGTTAGAGTGCCCTACCCATTAGCCGAATCGCGCTAGTGCCCATCCGGAACTAGTGCGTCCCGCAGCCAATCACCGCGCAGGGTTGCAAGCTCCATCAGCTTTCTCCAAGACGTGCCTCATCAACATCATCATCCAGAAGCTTGACGACGTTGACTTCCTTGCGGATCACCTTTACTATAGCAGCAAGATTCGACTTGGTGACCGGGAAGTTATTGAGAGCAATCGACATGTCGATATCCCCGATAATCACGTTCAAAGCAGGCCTCTGCGACTTTGATGTCAGTCAACTATCCTGTGGCCCCTGCACCCAGCTCTATGGCGAACGGCTAGGGGACAAACAGACTGACGACTTTTGTTGTAAAGTCGGTTTTGTCGGACTATGCTAATGCTGTCTTTTCTAGGCATCCATCTCCCCTCCCAGAGTGAGACCTAAACAGACTCCCGGTTATATATACCTATACTCTGAGGATGACCTCGTTCATTTTTGCTGGCGGCCTCGTTCAGCTTCCCTTGCCCAGCCAGAACTAGACCTAGTTATGGTGCCGATGGATGCGACTTTTACACCCTATAAACCTACAAGTGCCGAAAACCCCTCAAACAGCGACCGACCAACCAACGGCCGGATCTACGTTCTCAAATTCTCCTCAAGCTCCCAGAGGTTTCTTTTTTGGTTGCAATCGAAAACGCAACATGAACACGGAAATCCGGCATGGTTCAGCGCGCGGGACCTTAAACTGGGGCAGATTGTGAACGGGCTCCTTCAAGGCGAAGAGGTCGATGTCCAGGCCGCAATTGCAAGCTTGCCGAGGAACGATGACCACGATGATGATGAGACTATGGAAGATGTTGAGGGAACGGATCATAGCCCGGATCGCCACCGATTGGGTGGAGGTGGTGCCGGGGCCAGGTGCCACTGGTGGTGACGTTCGAGAGGAGGGTGAGGGGGCAAGAGAGGGCGGAGCTGATGGTGGACGAGCGTAGGTATTGCTCTCTGAATTTGCTGTTTCATAGCTATATTCTATATCTTCGGATTGTTGTCCCGCGGCTGTGGAATGGAACCGGATGCCGCCTTTGGTGTGATGATTGTTCGCTAAGATTGTTATTATAGTGCTACAAGCCGATCGGATCCATCTTCAGTCGTTCAGGATTTCCTTCGATCGCTTCAAGGGAATGCTGCTGTGAAATCTGAGCCAGCCGAAAAACCGTTTACGACACTTAACGAGCTCCTTATGCCTTCATCAACCTTACCTCTAGTGGAATCCGCCAATATGAATGCCGTCGATAACCTCCTTAATTTTCTTCCTCCCTCTCTGTTAGTCCTCGCTCAGAATCTTCATATCCCAACGACCGACATCAGCCCCGATGAAGCGCAGCAGGCGATGCGATCCTTGACTTTAGACCAGAAGAAGGATATCCTCAAACGGGTCCTTCGGTCACCCCAATTCGCCCAGAGCCTTGGCAGTCTTACCATTGCATTGCGGGACGGTGGGCTTCCAAGCATCAGCGATGCTCTGAATATACAGGTGGAAAATGGGGGATATATGCGTCGCGGCGGCGTGCCCTTGGGGGGCGGAGATGCTATACGGGTGTTTCTAGAAGGCGTAAAGTCCCATGTCAAAGAAACGCCATGTCCAGAAGATAGCATGGAAACAGATTAGTATTTTTTTTGACTATCTCAGCTACTATGATACCTGAAGTCAAGTTGAATATAACCAGCTGTCTTGTCCCCTGTTAATGAATCACTGCTTAAGTCGCTTATGCTCCTGGGCCATTGAGGGTTGAAAAGTGGAAATTTAACTCCTATGCTAGGATGTAGGCAGGGTCTCCCACATGATGTTTAGCCAACAGACCACAATCACAGACTGAAATTGTGTGTTCTGATTGAAGTGGAGGGAGAGACACATGTCGGTTGTATCAACATTTATCCATGCCCCTCTTGCAATTGCTGGGGCTGGATCTTTTTTTCAATTGAATTCATTGATATCAATTACATTCATGGAAAGGCTTTCTTTTAGTTGGCTCATTTCAAGCACTGATGTACTCCCTAGCACAGGGTAATATCGCCGCCCACTATGAGGGACAGAGCACAAAATAGTCTCTTTCCATCTCACTAGATATGGAGAAGTTGATTTCCTTGAAACTTCTATCATTAGGCCAGCTACCAAAATGGCGTGTCTGGCACAATATGCAGCATCGGGCTCCTCTCTGCCTTCAACCCATCTTTGCAAATGGCACTCGACAGACGTATATCTCAAGAAATGGTTGGGACTATGCAGACAGATTTGGTTACTTCTGTGTTGCGGTCATTAAGGGTGAGCCTTGACTGTGTAGTCGTAATGGCGGGAACTGTCCTTTTCTTGTTGCTTATTTGTTTGTCGAGAGAACATAGTTTAGGCCGTTCTAAGGCTTTGGAAGCTCAAGATACCTGCACATGCATTTACCTCAGAGCGAAGACTGAGCCACTGCAGGAGTTACGTGTGAATACCGATATGTAGCCAATAATAGGAGCAATGGCTGAGACATGACGAAGCCGTACAAAGCTGTAACACTAGTACTGGCGTGCTCACTAGTTAACTATTAGGCTGGAACTCCTTTGGAACATCAAACATGCGTTGCCGTACCTGAGCCAGCCGGGGAGAACAAGACACGAAATTCACAACCCTCATTTGACATTCACTGCAGGCTGAACCACTCAAAAGTTACTAACATTGGACTTGTGTTGATTACAGACAAGGGTTATATCCTGTCGAACGCTCCTTCACTGTCAGCCTTTTCGCGCATCGCCTAGCGACTTTTTGATACGAAACTTCCCGAATCCCTCGATATCATCGCGCGGAGCTGCTCGCGCCGAAAGATATTTAGATGTTCACGGCACAATCTAAGCGGCGATGACTGATATTCGATGACCTGCGCCAAATACAATGGCGTCTTCCGGTAACGGCAACCGCGCTCCTGATACTCATGGCCACCAGTCGATCCCGCTCCGTGACCTATCGCGTCCTCCCGGTACCGTGATTGCCGGAAGTACAGGTGGTAGGCTAGGGAGAACGAGGAGCATTAGTGGCAGCGAAGGGAATGGGCTAGGAAGACGGTCCTTACTCAGTCGCAGGTCCAATGTGCGAAGGTACGAGCGAATCGCGGAGGACTCACCTAGTCGCACGCCCGGGGAAAGTTCGGATGGGTTTCAAACGATTAATCTATCTCAAGATAATAGCTGGGGCGGGGATACAATAGGAGGAACCGGGTCGAGGAATCTTCATACTTCCGATGGAGAGCAGAATGCGGGGTTGCACGTCAACCGGTCGGAGAGCATATATCAGCCTCAGGCTCGAATTGGGAGCATTGGAGGATATGACGAGCCGGACAACCTGGCTGCGCTCACACACATGGAGCCTGAATATTTCAATGAAAATGCTTCACCAGTCGAGGTTGGCGAGACGGATAGGACACCTTTGACTGATCGAAGATATTTGCAGCCGATAAGTGGCACTGCCGAACGTCAGACGGGTCGTTCTCAGAGCTATAGCGGTCATAGTAGCCACAGTGTTCGCTTTGCGGATGATGCCTCGACAAGTCGTCTTGGTGATGATCTGCCGCACCTTGAAAGTGGACTTGGGAGAAGGGAGAGCAGCTATGAGAGTCGGGTTAGCTCTCAGCCCAGCCTATCCCGCTCCAAACGCCTTACGGCCACCAGTTCAGGCTCTGCTTTATCAAGGGCGGGTTCAATGATGAAAATGATGTCTCAGCGTGTGGTTAACCTAAGCAACGAGCCAGAACTTGTCGAACAGAGCCTACGAAGGAAGTCCTCGCTCAAATCTGCACGTCTAGAAGGACCCCCTACATTACCGGCGATGATGGACTATGCTCATGACATTAGAGACACCCCGTCCCAGGATGGTGCCCCTGAAAAGCGATTTCCTTTACAGCATGCCAGACAACAAAACCCCAAAATCAATCCACTGAGAGGGAATTCGTGGGGTATTTTCTCCCCAGAGAATAAACTCCGGAAAGCTTTATGCGAAGTGCTGATTCACCCTGCCACTGAGCCAATAATCCTAATTCTTATCGTGGTTCAAACCGTTCTTCTTGCAATTGAATCGACAGTAGAAAAACGAACCCTGGTTGGAAAATGGGGAGATGGCGCCTTTGATTATGCCTTTTTCGTTCTCTTCATCGTTTACACACTTGAATTGGTGGCCAGAACAATTGTGTCTGGGTTTATCCTTAACCCTGAAGAATATACTACCCTTGACCGGTCAGGCGGACTTAGGAAAGCTCTGATCGCAAAGGGACGGGAGTTATTCATTCCTCAAAGACAACTTTCGACGAAGAAGGTCGCAGCTCCAGTGAATGCCCAGATGTCCATTTTCAGGTCATTCACTGGAATGCAGCCGCAAGCTAATCATGCGGATGGGGCGGCTCAGCAACGCGCAAGGCTTGCACGGCGTGCCTTTCTCCGTCATTCGTTCAACAGACTCGATTTCCTTGCTGTAGTGTCATATTGGATATCATTCGTGTTATCCATTATGGAAGTTGAGTCAAGCCAGCGTTTGTTTATATTTCGGATGATCAGCAGCCTTCGTATCCTGCGACTACTCGCCCTGACGAGTGGTACTACTGTAAGCTTGGTGTCCTGGTTTTAGCTTTCAGTGCCTCCCCTATTTCTGACAGCTTTTTTAGGTCATCCTTCGAAGTCTTAAGAAAGCCGCTCCTTTGCTAGTTAACGTCGCCGTGTTCATTGGATTCTTTTGGCTTTTGTTCGCTATCATCGGGGTCCAGAGTTTTAAATCTAGTCTTCAGCGGACATGCGTCTGGGTAGATCCAAAGAACGTTCGCAACTTCACAATGAATGATGCCCCCGACGGTATTCAACTATGCGGAGGGTATCTCGACAACATTACTGGCACCGAAAAACCTTGGCTTCTGCCGGACGGAAGTCAAGGGGCAAACAAAGCGAAGGGTTACTTGTGCCCCCAGGGCTCGCTCTGTGTACAAGGAACCAACCCGTATGGCGGGACGGTTAGCTTCGATAATGTAATCCATTCTCTGCAGCTTGTTTTCGTGGTAATGAGTTCGAACACGTTCACGGACCTTCTCTACTATACTACTGACAGTGACTATCTTATTACTTCGGTGTTCTTCATCGCTAGCTTTGTTGTTCTCAGCTTATGGCTTGTCAACCTTTTGATTGCGGTCATCACATCGTCTTTCCAGGTCATAAGAGAAGAAAGCAAGCGAAGTGCCTTCACGGCTGACAATATCGATGATATGCAGCCGGAAGAGAAAGCACCGTTTCGTGTCAGTGCATTGAAACGCATATACGACAAAACCTTTTGGCTTTGGATAGTATTGATCACTTTCGACCTAGTCGTTCAGGGAATGAGAAGCTCGTCCATGGGACCAGATCGCAAGGCGTTTATTTATTCTACCGAACTTGCAGTTACAGTCATTCTTCTGTTCGAGATAATCTTCCGGTTTGCAGCGGACTGGAGAACTTTCCTCAGGAGCTCCCGAAGCTGGTTCGATTTGGCCCTGGCTGTGATTACGGCGATTATTCAACTTCCACTGATCCGTGACTCTAATCGCCTGTACGCGGCGTTGACTATTTTCCAAATCTTAAGGATATATCGAGTGGTCCTTGCTTTCTCTCTCACCAGGTCACTTATCATGACGGTTTTCAGCAATGTCGTCGGATTGTTGAATCTAATATTATTCGTCTTTCTCATCACTTTTCTAACCGCTATTTTCGCCGTTCAGTTATTTCGCGACCAGATCCCTAAGCAAGATAGCGGCGGTAATCCAACCCCGGTATCGTTCTCTAGCATCTATAATTCTTTCTTGGGAATGTATCAGATACTCTCGAGCGAAAATTGGACGACTATTATGTACACGGCCACTGCTTCAAGCGCTCCGTGGAAAACAGCATGGATATCCGCAGCCTTTTTTATAATGTGGTTTATTCTCGCCAATCTTGTCGTTTTAAATATGTTTATTGCTGTCATTCAAGAAAGTTTTGATGTTTCTGAAGACGAAAAGCGACTTCATCAAGTGAAAGCCTTCTTGCAACAGAAGCAACTTAATGGCTCTTCGCAGGGCAATCCTGCATTATCCTCAATTTTCAAACTTGGCCGTGACCAGCAGAAATACCGCGACCCTCTTGATCATGGGCCAGCTGCACTTGAGATGCTCCTCAAAGATGCCGTGGTTCATGAATTCCTTGATGAGCCAGTCCCATTGCGGCCGGCTGAGAGCCAGCAGCAGGACTTATCCCCCGATCTCGTTCAGCCTGGAGCATTTTCAAATTGGCTCAACAAGCTCAAAAGTCGGATACTTAACCGGGAGCCGAACCCTTTTTACTCAAAGTTGAAGATCTCGAGGGACTATGACGAACTAGACCCGACCGCAATGGCCAAGGAAGTACTCTCAGCATCGGAGCAAAGGAAACAAGCCCAAAGACAGTATTTACAGAGGTACCCAAGGTATAACGTGTCTCTGTTCCTATTCCCTCCCAATCACCCGATGCGCCGCCTTTGCCAACGTATAGTTGGGCCAGGGCGTGGTAACACCCGGATTGAAGGGGTAGATCCTTACAAGCCGGTCTGGTACACCTTCTCTGCTTTCATCTACGCCGCTATCGTTGCTATGGTCCTGCTGGCCTGTATTGCCACCCCTTTGTACCAACGGACTTACTTCAAGACGCACCAGTATGCCGTTAAAAATTGGTTTGTATGGACGGATATCGGGTTTGCAATTGTTTTTAGTGTCGAAGCTCTGATCAAAGTGATTGCCGACGGTTTCTTCTGGACACCCAATGCCTACTTTAGAGGTTCTTGGGGTTCATAGACGGATTAGTGCTTGTAACGCTCTGGGTGAACGTGGTAGCATCTCTTCATAAGAACGGAGACGTGTCCCGTGTGGTTGGAGCGTTTCGAGCTTTAAGGGCACTGCGATTACTTAATGTTAGCGACAGCGCGAGAGAAACGTTCCATTCGGTTATCATTGTTGGCGGATGGAAAGTTATATCTGTAAGTGAGAATCTGATACAATTGTGCCGTTACACTGCTGACACCAAAGCCATACAGGCAGGGTTTGTCTCGATGGGTTTCTTAGTCCCTTTTGCTATATACGGACTGAACCTTTTCAATGATCAAATGAAACGGTGCAACGACGATAATTTCGGATACAGCGCCCTTACGCATTGTGTTGGGGAATATAAGTCCTCGCCATATGCTTGGGAAATGCTAGCTCCTCGAGCAGTGGATAATCCTTTCTATAGTTTTGATACTTTCGGTGATTCGTTGTTCATTCTTTTCCAAATCGTCTCCCAAGAGGGCTGGACGGATGTGCTATGGAGTGCCATGAGCATCACGGGTGCCGACAAACAACCTCGAGCATTTGCGTCGCAGGCTAATGGGCTTTTTTTCGTTGTCTTCAACCTTTTGGGTGCCGTCTTCGTTTTGACATTGTTTGTCTCGGTCTTCATGCGAAATTATACCGAACAGACGGGCGTGGCATTCCTGACCGCAGAACAGCGATCGTGGCTCGAACTTCGCAAGCTTTTACGGCAAATCTCACCCTCTAAGAGATCAACGAGTAAAAAGAACAACAAATTTAAGGCGTGGTCATACAGGATAGCCGTTAAAAAACATGGTGTTTGGGCAAAATTCATAACGACTCTGCTTCTCTTTCATTTGTTATTGCTAGTTTTGGAATTTCATCCTACGGTGGAGTGGTGGGATAAAACTCGAGGTGATATCCCCTCCTTGGATTTTTTTGAAGGTCCTGACTGACATTGTAAGATATTCTTTTCTTCGGATTGACTCTATTTTATATCGCCAATGTGGCCATCCGCCTTGTTGGGTTAACATGGCCCCGGTTCCGTCGAAGCTCCTGGGACCTGTATTCTGTTCTGGCCGTGTCAGGTACTTTTGTGACTACGCTGCTATCCCTGATCGGCCACGAAAACCGTGCTTTCATGCAACTTCACAAACTCTTTTTGGTGTCTATAGCACTACTTCTTTATCCCACGGAATAATCAACTCGACCAACTTTTCAAAACCGCAGCTGCTAGTCTGACAGCGATCTCCAACGTACTGGCGACGTGGTTCGTCTTATTCCTTGTATACGCCATCGCTCTGACGCAAATATTCGGGCTCACCAAGTTTGGCGAAGGCGAAAGTAACAATATCAATTTCAGAAATGTGCCCAAAGCCTTAATTCTTCTTTTCCGCATGAGCTGCGGCGAAGGCTGGAATCAGGTCATGGAAGATTTCGCAACCATGGAGTACCCTTATTGCACCGTGGTAGAAGAATTCTTTGAAAGCGATTGTGGCAGCGCCGGCTGGGCTCGTGCACTGTTTATTTCCTGGAACATTCTTAGCATGTATATTTTTGTTTCCCTTTTTGTGTCGTTGATCTTCGAGAGTTTTTCATACGTGTACCAGCGAAGTAGCGGTCTATACGCTGTCAGTCGAGAGGAGATTCGTCGCTTCAACCAAAAAAGGGCAACGTTCGATCCGGACGGCACCGGTTACCTTTCATTGGACCAATTCCCACGTCTTCTTGGTGTAAGTTGACTTGCAATATTTAACCTTCTGTCAAGTGACCGGCGCTAATTTCTCTTCTCAGGAGCTATCTGGAGTATTCGAGATGCGAGTTTACGACGGGGACTTTACTGTTGGGCGCCTCCTTGAAGAATGCAAGGTCAACCGTCGTGAATCTCAACAGCCTCATGTTCGAGCCGTCGACGGCGTAGATTTGGACAAGCTGTCACGAATTCTCCGAAATCTTCCTATCCAAACAATTCGCAGGAAACGAGCTCGACTAAACGCATTCTACGAGGAGGTTCTCGTCTCTGCGGATCGGGAAAAGGGGATCTCTTTTACGTCGTGTCTCATGATCCTCGCTCATTATAACGTCATTAACGACAGCAAGAGCTTAAGGCTAGAAGAATTCCTAAGACGACGTGCACGGCTTCAGCGCGTCAATGAAGCAGTACGTCGAAATGTCGTCGTTGGATTCTTCAATACCCTATACTGGTTTCGCAAATTCCGACGCCATCAAGAACTTAAACACACGTCGCGCCTGGTGGAGGTACCCCAATTTTCGGTTCCAGAAATTTATGTCGAAGATGATGGCCAGGACGAAGGAGTTTCTGAAGGTCATCAAAGTAGGCCACCTTCGCCTTCAATGCTCTCTCCAACGAGCGATAGGTCTGGCACGTCTGACCGCAGCTCGCGAACGCTCCCGCGCATTGATACTACCATAGCTACAGGGGATCCGTTCTCCTCTCCAACGCATTCGGAGTGGTCTCAGATTGGCTCACTGTCGCCTCATCGATCAACTATGGGCGATGGGGATATGGGCCAGACAGATGGTGCTACCGGCCGCCCGCGCGCCGGTAGCTCCGTGAGCGTTCAGGGCGTGATGGACTCGTTTGACAATTCCGTCTGGGGAGAGAGCATTCGAAGAAGTTTTACTCAACGCCGCTCACAAGGCAACTAAGCTCGTTTCGCCGGGTGAGGAATTTTCGACTTTTCATTCGGATGTGTGCAACTTTTACTACTAGGGACTTCCATCTAACATGCGAGGACGAAAACGCCATGTATTATATACGATTATTTAATGCGAACATGATGAAAATGATGCCGGAGATATCAACTTTAGAAAATCATTTATCTCTGGGGATAGAGAACGGTCAAGCACATCTGGTCTCGATTTGGAGATGTGTGATGAAAACGGTGGTGGTAATCAGGTTCTAGGGCACAACGCATATTTTTTCCTTTCAAGCTATTCCTTTGGACAGATATACATTGACGCTATGGAATTTTTCTTTTCATTCTTATACCTATTCAGCTTGCCTTCGATGTATAGTTCTTTTCTATTCTTTTGGGGCACCTTGCTGCTGCGTCCTTTGTGAATCTGAGTTCATAGACACGGGTTTGTAAATACGAGATATTCGAGGAAGGAATCAAAGTTGGGATAACTAAGGTGTAATGGCTGTCTTTTTCCTATTTGTCTTTGGCACTAGGGTTTTGCAGCTTGCTTGCTCGATGCTGTCCTGTATTCTCTATTATCTTTCTGCCTGTTGGTTCAACTTGGACGTAGATGGTATAAGTCTTCACCTGGACAAGTTGAAGACTACGGAGTAGAGTACAGAGTATTTGATTGACGGTCAGTGCTGCTAATCTCTCGTAGTGAGAATCTTGGGGCTGGAGTTCCAGCCCGAAACAGCTTCTGAATCCACGCTCAGGAGTTAATGAGGCTCGATCTCAATGCGCCTAGATTCACCCCTTTTCCTCACCAGTCCAAGCGGGGAAAAAGAAAAAACATAAGCACATGAAGGCTTCGGGATTCCGTGGCGCTTTGATGTTTGTTCATCTCATAACCTCCGGACTTCAAGTGGTTGATATGTGTAGACTGCTAAAGGCAACGCTGCGAGTAGAGATGATGCCACATGTTCCCACAAGTTTGTGCATCCTCAAGCTTGGAATAGCTTTATTTTGAGAAGCAATTCGCCAGTCGAGCAACAGTGTAACACCGCAAGCCAGCTGGTTACCTGAGCTTCCTCTGTCTGGGAATCGGGCCGTTGTCAGGACATATGTATTCATCGCAACGTATGGAGTAACTCGGGCTGGAAACAGCATAGCTTGATCGAGGCTGTAACCGTCATTGGAGATGTTCAGCTTTCTCAGTTCAGAATGCAATCTTGATACTCCCCCAGAGTTGGCCTGAGATAATGATTGGAAGGGGGCAAGCCCGGATCCGAAGCCCTGCTCTCAAGGAATTCCGCTGGCAGGCTGTGATGCCAAAAGGGCTTGGAAGAAATACGCACAGGCGCAGGAGAACCTGATACCTTGGTCCGGCATTGCGGTTGTTCCCATCACCAGCTAAAAACGGATGACGTTGAGACTTTCCCCTGTCGATGTGGATCATTTCCGCCTCTTCTGGCAAACTGAGACAATCAGGGTCTTGGAGTCGCATTCTCTTCCTCTCTTCTTCGCTTCTTCACACCAATTGTCGGGGATGGTCAGACTCAACTGTCACGGTTGTTGACTCGGATCAAACATCGCTTTTCTTCTTCCTTCTCATTCTCACGCTCCCTTCCTCTCCTCTCCTTGTGCGTGATGTTCCCACCCTGACTGAAGCTTCGCCCGTGGCTCATCCATCCGAGATTCACGACTCAGGTTTGGCCTTCCTTTGCCCATGCCCCCTCGTGCCGTGTTTGCAGAAATAACGATTTGAATCCTCTTAGTTTCGCCATCCCCTTTATATTCGCCGCGCTCCCGCATCCGCTTTCCTCAGTCCGGGACGTCCTTAACCCACGGTTCCGCCGAGGGTTGCAGCTACTCCTCATAATTCCTCTTGCCATTCTTTCCGTCTCGATCCTTCACGAGATTATATCTACGGTCGATCCGTTGTTTTCGTTCTTTTTTATGTGCCATATTTCGAACAACGCTGTGCTTGGATAGCTGTGCAGAATTACGTGGTTCTTCATACTTTTATCGGCAGAACGGCTGAGCCATATCTCTGTTATTGATCATAGAAGACTTGTCCCATAAGACTCTTGGTCTGGGTCAAACATTCAAACAGTCCTTCACAAACGGCCGTACAAGACTTAATAAGCCTCTTCGAGGCACTCTCACCTCCAATTGAATCCAAAATGGCTGACAACAAACGCCCAACGCCTGACTTACTACCTTCTCCATGGACCGACTTCACACCCCTCCGAAATCCATTCAGCTACAATCAGTCGAATTCCACCGACTCTGAACGAGGAAGCCCGTTGACATCGGCCACTTCCAGTCCCACATGTTCTCCGACTTCCAGCCCTATTAGCGCAACCCGGAGCCATCCCTTTAGCCCGTATTTCCGCCGTGGCCGCAGTCGAGAGAGAAACTCATTCACCTCACGCTCACCTAGCTCTTTCCGACTGTCCTCTCTATTCCTTCGACGTCGTCCATCTGCAGTTGATCTAGCCTTGAGTGAAGAGCGATCGAGGTGCTCTGAGGACGAAATTGAGAGACGGGGCTTGGGGCTAATGGAACCGCGCCCAGTAGACCCTATGCCGGTGCTCGTGGATATTGATGAGGATGGCCATAAAGCCTCAGGTCTGCTGATGGATGGAAAGACGTTGAACCCCACGAACTCTGCCACTTCCAACCAACCGCGATATGTGATGGGCGGTATTTTCGAGGTCATGGAAGGGAGTGCATAAATCTGACTGAGCGGATATATCAACGTTACGTGCGCCATTTTATATGCGGGTCATATACAGTTTCCTCCCCGAACGGTTGTCGCGAAGGAATCCTGGAGAAGTTGCCGATATGACCACTGAGAACTAAAGTGTTTTAATGCCCTTTTACTTCTGCCCCCGCTTTTGGGTGCAGAGGCTTCACATATTGTTTCTATTATTGAGGGAAATTCAGGGCTATTTCTTAAGGTTGTGTCCTTTCCCATGTATCTATACTTCTGTGTATTCATCTGGAAACGAATCAATTTCGTGTCTCTATTGACTGCCCAAGTCTCCTCATGCAACATTCTATCTCCCTTCCTTGCGGGTTGTTGTATACTCACTTTGCCTTGGCTTCTCCTCACTATTCATTTGTATTCTCTGCTGAAAGCTTTCATCCAATGATAAGGCTCAAACCTGCATGGCAATCACAGTTGAAGACGTTCGATGATGAGTGTGAATACTTGTCTTCCCTTTCTAGGTGGAAACAACCTATTCTGAAGCCCAACTTGAAACTTTTAGAAGATGTGTTAGTTAAGCAGTGAGTATTCTGAGGGTTCATGACTTCATGTTCCTAACTTCTTGGCATTAGTCTGCAAATTGCCAAATTCTGGAAAATATTTTTTGGAAGATTTGACTCTCAACTAAATCCAAATAAATTCAACTTCTCAAACTTTACTGTCATAATATAATAAAATTTGAAATATATAATATAAAGATAATAAGATATGAAAGTTGAAAGTTGAAACTAGTAACAAAAGCTCTCATAGTCTATAAACTTAACTTATCACTTATCAGATATTTGATTATGTGATTAAAATACACAGTGACACACTGACACAGAAAATAAAGTCATGTGATAATATTTAATACATTAAGCAGCAAGCTCTTAAATCTCTGCAAACTTTTATTTCATATTTCTATACAAACAGTAACAAACTGCGGTTTGCAAGTTGCAGACTTGCAGTAAAAGTCCAGAGTTCAAGTGTTTAAAGATCTGAAATACAGTTAATATAAGTTTAAAATTTGCAAGCTTTTGTAACTTGTTAAATGAATCAAATGATTAATAGAAAATATTTAATATTTATGAAATCATTGTTTAATTTGTTTTAGATCTATCATCTATACTTAAATTTATGTTTTTGATTTTGTTTTAGAATCTAGATTAAAGCTACTTGTATTATGTAATAAATCTCTTCTCTTAATAAATTATACCTTTTAATAGCCAATTAAAGTCATCCATTCAATTTCAGATATCTAAATTTGTACTAGTACCTATTTTTGGTTAATATTACACAACAGAAATAGATGCATCATATTTTACTGTATTTGTTGTGAAAAGTATCAACTATAAATTGGACTTGTCACAAATTCACAAATCAAAAATACTTCAACTTTTCCCACTTTCAAATTTCAATTCTCTCAATTTATTTTCACACTTGAAGTCTCAAGCTTGATAACCTCTCAAGTGAAAAGGTCAGATTGCTTTTATAAGATAGTCACTGTCCAATAATCTGAATTCTGGACATTAAACCCACTTTTATACAGACCTGCCTTTTTTTTCCCAGCCAACAGATCACAACCTGAGGCTGGAAGTGACCTACACGCACAACCACAACTGTCAACACATAAACAATCCCAAAAGAATCAAGTTTGGAAAACCCCTTTTCCCACATATCAGGCTCATAGCCGTCTTACCTGGACCCTAATGGTGATCGACTTGACTGGAGATTCAACATCGGAGGGAGAGGACATATATCATGAGGTAAGCAAAATACTTTTCAATTTCCAATATGATAATCAGCAGACTTCTCTTGATCATTTAGCATGGAAACCTCCTGGATGCCACCTCGAGTATTTGGGGAATGGTTGTTTTGGTTTTTTTTGCCCGGTCGCCCAGCGATAAGTGTCTGCTCCCACACTAACTGTTTTAGGCAATTAAAACCTCATTCAACAACGCTGACCTGCTTCTGGCGACATTCAAACATCAGCCAAAAAGTCACAAGACACAAAGAAAGCTACAAGAGCTCAGAATTGTTCCCATCCAGAATTCTTCGAGCTCTTCGGAAGCAGAGAGTTGTGTTAGCTTCGGCAGTCGAAAACGAAGGCGAGATGAAACAGACTCCCCTGCTTCCTCACTCCCCGGCCACCATGGCCTTTCTGACTTTTTCCTGGTTCATAATACCCCCAAGAAAGTCGCGGGAATGTATGCAAAAGTCAAGGATGTGAAGCGGAGCACAACTAAATTCAATCGTGGAGTTCGAACCTTTCAGCCACCGCAGAAGTCACGTCGAACACCCTTAGATTTGCAAAATCTCTATGCAAAGAAAGTCGCTTCAATCAATGGGCCTCCAGTCCATATTACATTTAATGACAATTCCCGCATTGTGGACTTTAATTTTGAATTTATAAGCAATTACAAGATGCAGGAAGGTGTTTATCCTGTTGATTCCAACTTCCACGCAGGCTGTGACTGCATTGGTGCAAAGTGCAACTTAAGGAGCTGCTCATGCCTTTCACAGGAGGAAGACTCCTTGGAACGAATCATACCTTACAGAGTTGGTGATGCTGGCGTCATTATTTTGCGTGACGAATTCATGCGACGAAAGTCGATGATCTATGAATGCTCTTTGTTGTGTAATTGTGACTGGAATTGTATGAACAAAGTTGTTGAGCGAGGAAGAACTGTTCGCCTTGAAATATTTCAAACCCGAAATCGAGGATTTGGTAAGCACAATCGCGGAAATGGATTATGGGTATACCTAATGCTAATATTACATGGCCAACTGTAGGACTAAGGTCGGCGGATTTCATCCAGGCTGGTCAATACATTGACTGCTACCTTGGTGAAGTGGTGACGAAAGTCGAGGCTGACGACCGTGAAGCTGCTACCTCAAATAATAGAGCAAGCTACTTATTTTCACTAGACTTTCTTGTGGATCAGGATGATGATGATATCTATGTTGTTGATGGGAGAAAATTTGGTTCTGTTACAAGGTTTATGAATCATTCTTGCAAGCCAAACTGCCAAATGTTTCCAGTTTCTCACAACCATGCTGATCAACATATATTTGGACTGGCATTTTTTGCTGTAACTGATATCCCCCCTGGTAAAGAGTTGACTTTTGACTATCATCCTAATTGGAAAAGTGATGGGAATCTTGATATTGACCCAGATGCAGTGAAATGCTTATGTGGAGAGAAGAATTGTCGCGGTCAGCTTTGGCCTAATCAAAGAAAAACATTGCACAATTGATGTTTAGAATGCATTTAGAGAGCTGGTGCAAAAGTATTAAAATCATTGTTTTTCAATTCTCAAACTCTCACTTATTTTATTTTAAATTCTTAATACATTCTTATAGATTGAGTTATAGAATGAATAAATGATGGAATGAAAACAGATTTCTAAATCTTAGTACTTACAAGACGTGATGTCAGATTTTTGAATTTCTCAGTTTCAAAATCTGCTGAAAAGTTTGATTCAGAACTGCTCATATAGCTTGTATTTTTTATTAATATATATATAGTATATATTAATAAAACATGTAAGATGTGATTTTATATAATTTTTAATCATAAATTCATAATGCTTACATTTTTGAATTTTTCTTTTTCTAATATAATCTCATTTACAGTTTACTTATATAAATCACATTTTAAAGATTCAAAGTTCCAACATCATATATTTTATAAAATAAAGTGATATGATATATCTGAATCTGAATCTGATAAAGACAAGAATTCTCAGTTCTGACAATATTAATAAATTATGATATATTAAATAAAAAATGACAGTGAAAATAAGTTATAATATGTTGATTGTTGACATGTCACACAATAACACTGTTATCAAATTTCATTACTTTTTATATATATAAATACTTTAAAAATTTCACTTAAAATCTAAATATAAAGGTATATAATCTTACATGTACTCTATATTTATATACATAAATATTTAAACCCTAGCTGAGTATATGATTGTCATGCTAGGGCTGAAGCCCATGCATGATTCTGAATATTTTTATTTTCAAGCTGAAATAAATTGAAACTGCAAAATCATATAACACATGCCAATGCCTACAGCACTAGTTGCACTTTTGAAATTGTTTTATGCTCATATTGAAAGGTTCTCATACAATTAAAGCAGTTAAAAATAAGAGAGAATATAGGTCAGAATTGGGTTGTAATATTTGAAAATGGAGTCACGAGTGCAAGTCAGATCTTTGCTCATCCTCATACAAGTCTAAATGTTGCAGAATCCAAAGCGTTCAAACATAAATTCCGCCCCAAAGCCGCTTAGAGCCCTTCCAATCTGCCCAGCTGTGTCCGACGCCTGTCTAAGCTGAATCCAAAGTCGCAACCATCTGTTGAAAACCATCACATTCCCGGTTTTCTTAGATGAAGCGCATCGGGGTGTGCTCCCTTGGGAAGCACTTGAAACCTCCGTCCTATGGGAAATCGAGTGAATCGTGACCGAATTGAATCAAGAGCTTCCTTCTCCCTGGAGAAGATCCCCACAGAGATTCAGCTGAACAGTTTCCACCGCAGCTTTGCTGGCCACCCCCAATTTAAGGGGACGGAAAAATTTTGCATGGCGACGTATTCGAAATAGGATGGGTAAAAGCCGCAATAATCCCAGTCTATCAACCAAAGATCGCGAATGATGGTATCATCATCATATTCGTGGACTAGAGGCCAAAACCAGGCATATTGTGCATATCACAGAAGATAAAGTATGGTGGATATGAAATGATGATGGAATGTCGGCACAAAGGAGGTTGAAGGGTTGGCAGGGAAGCCATATATGGCTCCTCAAGCACCCTTAACATTTAGAGTCCTCTCTCACCGCTCATGATCCCAGTGGACATCGCAGTCCTTAACTAGTTACCAAAGTCCAAGTCTCTTTGCTTCTCCACCAGATCTTATGTACTCCCATCCGCAGCATGGCATCCCATCATCACTATTCCTCTCTGCCCCCCTTGACTTCTGATGAGCGTTCTCGCGCCCGAGACGTATTGAGTAGGATAATTGATCGTACCAACCACAGTGGCTCCAAGGGTGGATATAATCGCCATTTACTTGTCCGCCATACCTATGCCTACGCACAGTCTGACTTGTCCAGGGATAACTTCCTGCGGGGGTCCTTCACTTTTATGGGATTCGATATTAGCAGTGAGGATGATGTCAACATGGATGATGATCAGATTCCTTCAAAATTCATTCATTTTGCAGACCTGCTTCTTGAGCAGTTTTTCTTTCCATGTTTGTGCTATCCCCTGTCATTGTTTTCAACTTACTGATCATTTTATAGTGAAGGCAAGTGGAAAGATTACTCCACAGCCAACTTCTGCTCAGCTTTCAGCAATGCAAAGCATACAATCATCACATGAAATTATCAGCATGTCTGAGCAAGGTTCATACCTCCAAGATCTTTGCCTTGTTCGTGACCAGTATCGCTGTGTGATATCCCGCATTTTTGATGCATCCCAAGAAGTCAAGCGAACAGATCAGCATGGACTAGATGCTCAAGATGATGTTGGGAATCTGCTTAGGGATGAGAATAGATTTGAGGAGCTAAAAGTGGCACATATATTTCCCCACTCTCTCACTCAAATGAATGTGAATTTACAACTGGTAGGCCATGTATCCAAAGTAGTCTCTCTCATGACCATGACTAAATGATAGACAGGGCAATTCCAGACAGACTACAATTGGCATCCTCAACATGTTTGATTGTGATGTGGTCCATCTTATTGATAGCCCACACAATGCTATTAGCCTGACTCCAACTTTCCATAAACTCTTTGGCAATTTTGATATATATTTTGACGCTGTTGCTGGTGAGGAACATACCTACTGCATTGATGGCTTCCTCAATCCCATCTCAGCTGCGCGTCGAGGGCTACCTGTTACTCGCAAGCTTCTTTTAAGTGAAGAACACATGATAAATGCACCGTCCCCACGGCTACTTGCTCTACACCGGGCCATTGCTCATATCCTTCACCTGTCAGGAGCTGGTGAATATATCAATAAGATACTCCAGGAATTTGAGGAGACAGGTGCGCAAAAGGACGGGTCCACGGATCTGGGACGTATCTTGACCCTAAGACTTGGGTTGGTTTGATCGTGCTGTTGAATTTCATAGACGATGCAAATGGCTGTATTCGGATGAGATTTGCGGGTATGAGTGGTGTGTGTGAGTTTGAAGGATGTTTGTCTTCTGGCTTAGCAGTTGAAATATGGCCAACTTAGTCCCGACCTTAAAGCGCAACTCAGCGCATGATTTCTATGAGTAATTAATATAAAGTCTGTTGTAACATGGTATCAGAAGAATTGAGTAAGTATCGACTGCAACAGATCAGATGATGGATATTGAAGTTTGTGACTTTATTGACATGTCATGCAGTTGGTCATAAATTGCAATACTTCAAACAAATCTTTTCATTATTATTTCGGAAGTTTCTGCATTTTGTTCTGTTATAGGTGGGAAAGCAATGGCTGGCTGTGAGCATGTGTTAGGTAGTTTCATAAAAAGATGAGTACTTGTTAAAAGGGAGCAGTATAATCTCTTATAAGTTATCTGAGATAAATTATTAATAATGAGAAGAGAGGGAAATAAAGTCATTCACCTATATCACCATCTAGCCAATCTCATTCTGTCACCCAATGTCCATCTGAGGATAGAAGATGTCGGTATTGTCACCATAAACCGAGGACACTCCCCCAGACCTCTCCAAATCCCTGATGACTTGATGCACCATCAACGGCGCCCTCGGTATATCGGTTCCCGGGACCCTGGTCAACGGTGCTAGTAAACCATGGAAAGCTATCACCGGCCGATCAAGGACATTGGCAACCGCTTGGCCGGTACCTGCCGTACCATAGCAGGCGAACAGATGAAATGGACGCCCTTGTCCTCTAATCCCCCTCAGGAGAGGGTTTCTAATCGCGGCTTGTTCCATCTCAGGGAGAATAGTACGCCTTGCCACATATTCCCCAGAATACAAACCGAGTCCTTGTCCGGTTGGGTTCCAGCCCATTAATAGTCCTTCATAGCCGTGAGTTAGGAACCCTTCGTTACCCAGTTCCCCGTTGATACTATCGAAGTAAACATACATGTCTGTGCGACTAGTAACGCTCCGAGTAGCTGGGTCCCAAATGTTTCCGGGGACTTGATGCGCATATAAATCACCCATTATGCGCGGGGATCGGCGCTCTGCCGCTGCTACCGCTGCCGCCGTGGTAGCGACGGCGCTAGATCTGCTAGCGGATGTACCGATACCTGAAAGCGCCTTAAGTCCTTTCCCTATCAATCGTCCACCCACTTCACCGAGAACGCCGCCAACAGCTCCAAATACTGCATCAGTAGCCATCGACTGCAGGGTCGGCCCCTTACCTGTCGCCGCATCGTAAGCCGCTCCTGTGCCAGCATCCGCAGCAACACCCACTGCAATACCCAAACCAGCTTCCACCGCAAAGCCCATACCACCAGTAGCGAAACCAACCAGTAGGCCAGCTGCAAGCCCAACCAAGGCCATGGCAAGATCCCGTCCACCAAAGTGAATGCCGAAGAGACTAAAATGCCCGGTCGGGTCGCTGCGATTGATCGGGTCGCCAACACAGTACGCGTATGGATTGATTTCACCGGAAGCGAAGGGGCTCGATTGGTCTGGAGAATGGAACCGCATCAAAACCGGATTGTAAACGCGGTATCCATTGCCGAGATGGTACCATCCGGTGACTGGGTCACGCCATTGACCATTAAAACCGATTGAGCTCGTGCCCACATTAAATCCATATGGAGAATAGGTCTGACCGTGAATTTCGGTAGGCTTTTTCGTATCAAACCACGCTAGGACGGATTGTTGGCTGTCGGACATCCAAAGCTGCGTTTCGGTTTTGTTGCCTTTTTGGAGCATCTGCCCCCAACGTATACCCCCATCAGAGATATAGCTGACCTTCGTGTCTCCAGTGGTGGTCGCAATAAGGCTGTCACCTCGATAATGGAGATATGTATCAGTTCCTTGAACCCTCTGGCAGACCAACTTTCCGCCGGCATCGTAGAAGTATTGACACAAAGTTTTTCCTGTTGAACCGCAAACTGTGGTCAAACGACCTTTTGTATCGTATTTCAACGTACGGCCTTGTTCGTCTCGAGTCAAACATCCGTTTTCATCATATTCTAAGTCAATTCTGGGAGTAAAATATGGGTTCGTGTTGGTAATTTGGGTCAATTGTGTCGGTTCCTTGGAGCTGTACTTGTAAGATACTGTATTATCAGACCCATTGTTGAAGGTAGAAGAGATCTGGATCAAGTTATCAAACTCGTCAAAACTGAATTTCTGCCGTCTAAGCCCCATCCTCTTATCATCCATGGGTGGCTGGATCCCCTGACACTGATAGTCGATCAGCCGGTTATAACTATCATATTGAAAGCTTTCGTCCTTGATTACAGAGCCGTGACCATCCTCTCCCTTGCGTCTAAGAAGGAGGTTTGTCGGGCCAAATGCCTGGCTCAGTCGATATAGAATCTCCGATCCTTTCTTAACGGTGCGCTCAACCTCTCGACCAAACTCATCGTATGTCCGGGTGGTAGTGAGGTTCTGGTTTGTTTCCATGTCCACCGCATTACTTTCAAGCAGGAGGTTGTCCTTGGTATATGTGAAAGATACCTGGACATTCCCTTGAACCAGCCTGTTGGGTCGACCACAATCGTCATATTGAATCTCGTGAATTTGCCCGTTGGCATCGGTGTAGGTTTGCAGCTTGCCAGCCATTGAATAAGAAGACTTAGTAGCGAAGCTATTTCGACCAACCTGAAAGCTTTCCTGCAAGAGTAGACCGGACGGTAGGTACTGTCGTTGCTCTTTCTTGAATGAGCCATCAAGACTCAGGAGCTCTGCAGTCCTTTTCTCGTACAGGAACGTATTTGAATCATCCGCGCTGGATTGGGAAGTGAGGACATCGTCTAATTGAAGGTCGTAAGCCAGATCATGCTTATCACCTTTGGGAGTTGTGAGATCGCTTGGCTTGGGCGCGATGCCTTGGTACGACATAGCAGTAGTACGTGACCCTAGGCTTTGTTTCGTTACCCGGCCTAGCCCATCAATCGCTTGCGTGCCCATGACGTGATCATTGACCTTGGTCAAAATTGGCAAAACAGAGGCACTATGAGGGGCATATTCTGTCTTTACCACGAGATCCTCGGGCCAATTGGTTTGATTGATGCGATCGAAACTGTCATGTTGATATTTGGTAATGTGGCCGAGAGGAGATTCCTGTTCAACCATCCGGCCCAGCCCATCGTACGTGTATTTAATCTTGCTATACACCGTGCCATCGCTATTGAGGACGTCTTTCTCGGTTGCAGCGCCCATTGTATCGAATTGCGTTCTGGTTTGACTTTGGCCCTCAATCCCTTCCGTGCGTGTAAGATTGATAGGATCCGTAGCCGATAGTGTGGCCGAACCGTCGCTCTCAGTAATTCGATAGGCTTGACCCCAATCATCATATTCTATCGTCCGACTTCGTCGTTGTTCGAATGGTGCTCCGTTCCCCTCCGCCCTCAACCAATCGATATCCGTGGTCCCTGTGCACTGGCCAATTTCATTGTAGCTGCGTTCCTGCACTGTACGGAAGGTTCCATTGTAATCCCCGGGCCCAGAACCCTGGCCATCATCATCCTGTGCTTCAACACGGCAGATTCTTTCCAGCCCATCGGTAAAGTGGCGCTTTTGCATCCCTTTACTATTTGTCTCAGTTACGCAATACCCGACTTCACCCTTCAAGACAGCGTACTCATATTTCTTCACTGTTTCGTAGGAGGTTCCAGGCGACACCGTCTCTTTGACAAGTTGGCCCATGGAATCGTACTGGTAGCAAGTCTTAATGCCGATTGGAGTCGTATGTGTCGAAGTCAGTCCAGTCGATAGTGAGCATTCTTTTTCGTCCTGTGCATTATATCCATCAAACGTTTTAGCCTCAACAATTTGCGTGAACCGATCAGGGCTTGGGTATCGATAAGTCCAGTTTTTGGTTGTCATATACCGTCCTGATAGTTTGACAGTTTTTTGCTGTAGGCGGCCATGATTTCGATCCGATGGCTGATTCACATAAGTATAGTTGGAGATAAAAAGTTCGAGGCCATCCTCGAGGGTTTTATCTTGCTGAACAGCTACAAAATAGCTAGCATAAAGCGACGTAGCAGTTGACCACTCCTTGTAAGTGTACTGGCGACTTCGCTTTGGAGCCTTGAACGAACTCGATTTGGGCGTCACAATCACAGACTTCATATACCGCTGGAAACCGTGTGGATCGGCTGGGCAGAGTTCATTCTCGCCTCCAGGGGGATAGTAATCACGATCCGTTGTCACTCCACTCGGTTTAATCTCCTGGATCGGATTTCCCCATTCATCAAATACATATTGGGTGGTTTCCGTCCGATGGGTGTTAGCGAGGGTATCTTCATACACTGTTTGTACGCTCTTGGGGAGCTGGTACTGGGCAGGCTGAGCACTAAATGCGCCAGTCGGCAGCATATAGTAGGCGACGGTCTGAGTTACCTGTTTTGTATTTTGGCGCCTCCTGCTGCTCACGATAAGATGAAATCTATTATAAGTATATTTCGTTTCCGGCCCTTGGTTTATCTGCACCGTAGTTGTATACTGGTAGTTCTCATGTGCTCTATACAGATTGTCTTCCCCATCTTTCCAGTCGAAGCCGCTATCGTAACCCAAAAAATTACTGGCTGAGTAACTGTAGTAAGTTTTGATGGCTGGCTGGTTGTTCAATGGACGGGATATGTGCGATATCGCATATGGCACTGTCCGGTACGGGGCACCTTTGGGCAAATAATGCCCTTTTTCCTTGTGGGAGACTTCTTCCTGTAGGCCAGAGGGACTAGTGATTTTCTTTAGGCAGCATATCTGGCCAAACGTCTCATACTCAAACTTCCACGGCGGGATGCCTTGTAGTGGTGATTGGACCTCGGCCAACCGGCCATTCTTTCGAATGAGCGTGAATGTGCTGGCCTCTGCTGTATCTGGGGAGCGCGTGATCGTGGCCCGTGCATCGTTGTAGTTTATCGTCAATAATTCTTGTTCGCCGTCCAGAATGCTCTGGAGTCGGGGCTGTTCGCCGGAGCGGATCCAAGTGAGTTTGACCATGCGGCCATTTGCAGCATACAGCTCAAAAGGAACTGTAGTGCTGTAACTGTCATTTTTATTAGATAGCACTTCGACCAGTCCTGACTTATGGATAACTTGATAGTTGCCGCTGTCCTTTCGGAAGTGGAAGCTCTTCAGCTTCTGATCTTTGACTCTGACCGAACTCGAATCTTCAGCGACTTGATAATGCTCACCCGTCGAAAGCACGAGAGTTTTCGCTTGGCGATGCTGATAAGTTGAGAGATTGAAAGACCACCCTTTCCCTAGACCGATATCTGTAGTTGTAAAGGGGCTGTAAGTGATGGAGAGCTGAAGCGATGGGCAGTTGCGGGCCAGCGTAGGCGTTTCGTAAATTGCAATGCTGGAGGTAAATTGACCAGTACGGGGATCAACACCGCCCTGGATGAAGCTGGTGAAGTTGAAGCCTTGCGAGTAGAGGGCTGACATGGTCAGGGTTCAGAAGTATATGCGGATGCAGATGTTTTGAATGCCAGACAAATCAATTGAATGTAGAAAGGGAGTTCAGTTTTAAACAAAAGATCACCGTGCTCCATTGCTGCTATCAGCCCTTGAGAGGGTCATCTAGTCCGGCAGTGAGTGGTTATTCTTTTCCGTTTTGTTCGGCTGAAGAGGTGCTTCTTGGCCACCAGGCGCTGGACCAGGGAATCAAACCCATGCTCAGCCGGTCTCCTCTTCGAACGGATCATCTAGTCTGAACCAGGGCCAGTAACACTCGGATTTTCGGAGAGTTGAGATGGGCATTGTTGGGTGGAAATCGATGCCTAGAATTCGTTGGAGAAGCTCGCTACGGTGATAGTATCACCGGTCGGTCACCTAGTGCGGGGAAGATAGCATCGCCATCCGTGTCTCTCGTCAACGTCCGTAAGCGAGTGTGCCGATATCATGAGCATCGAAATGCGGATAAGGCTCGTTTCATGAACCCGGAACGTGCGTAGTGGCGCACATCCTTGCATGAATTGTTTGGCACAGTTAGCTCTCGGGAACGCCGTTCGGTGCGGGGGGAACCCGAGCAATGCGCAGTCGATATCCGCTGCGTAGTCCGTGCCCCTCCAAAGTCCGAGGAATCGAGTCGTTTCTGGCCTCGAGCTAGTCGCCGGTGATGCCCTGGACGAGCTGAGAGAGACGGGTCACGAACAACGAGAACATGATATCAGCCAGCCACCGACCGCCCAGCGGTGTTCTGTGTGAAGGATGAGATGAAGAAGGCAAATAAACGTTCGAATCAGAAGATAGAGTTGATGTTCCAGCAGGCCATCTCCCTTGTTGCCATGGGGGTCAGTGCACACTGGGCCAACGTTGATGATTGGAAAAGCGAAGGAGACAGTGACGAAATGGAACAGGTAGCAGGTTTGGGAACAGTTGAAGTGTCTCTGAAGATGTTCTCTATCAAACTGAATTGGGCACTGATGACTTGAGGTCGCAGGCAGTTACAATAATACAGTAATTAATACAGCAGATACTGATTTGACCAATTGCAGCCGTAACTACAGTACAGTACTCCGTACCCGGTCAAGATACTTAACTTCACAATACTCCATACGCTCTATCAAAAAGAACAAAAATGAGAGGGATATCGACGACAGGATATAGCACAGTCACTTCTTCGACAAGGTGTAGGTCACCGTGGAATGATTTCCTCCACCACCATCGACCTTGATTTTATAGTCGTTTCTGCGTGGCCCAACAATCCCCGCGTTATACTGATTTCCTCCCGAAAACGGGTTCGCCCACCACATTTGAACCACTGTGTCTTCCTCCGCATTCGACACGACTTCATTAGCGTCGTCACTGATGAAGATCTTGTAGTTGGTCGTCCCCTCAGTGCCTGTCATCATCCCGTCGGACTGCGTTTGCCACTTCGCCCATTCGCCCGCCTCAACGATCTCGGGAGGGTACATGTCCGTGGTCCATTTGCCGTGCGCGATGGTTTCGCCATCACGGTATAGAGCAACGTTAAGTGTGTTGTGTAGCCAGCATTTGACTTCTCGAGCCGCAAGCTCTGACACGGGAGGCCCATCAGGATTATCCGCTTTCTCTCCCGTAGCGGCTGCAGGCGCGGGTTCCTTGTTGACTACGGACAAACTGTGAGAACTTGGGGCTTCAAAGAACTTGCATTGGGGCAATTGGCTCACTAGCTGGGACGTTTTCCATCTCTTCAAACTTGCTTCGAATAGGGGAAACTCGATTAGAATCTAAAAGACGGCTTGAAAGAGATAACCTATGTGGGCTGGAGAGGTTCCATTTATAGATAGACATGAAAGACTGAACGGACCTAACTAATCCAGAGATTGAATCAGCCCACGAGGCCTCGACTCTAAAAATACAACTCCGAAGCTTGATATCGGTCTCTCCGGGCTCGTTTATTCTTGCAGCATTCCCCCCATAAACACGCCCGATGCCAACCGATTGGCTTGATGAGGCAATCTATGCACAGAGTCCACATATACCGTTGAGGACCAGCGGAAGCGAAGAGTGTGAATCGGACCTTGCCACTCCGTCGCCCGAAGAGATCCATGACTGGCTGGAGGGTGTCCGTGCCGATTTATACCTTGCAGCCACATAGTCAACAGGACGCGGGGCTTTGCGTGGGAGTTTCCGGAGGAAAGATCCGTGTCCAGCTGAAAGAATATGCATTTCTGATGCAATGATGCTATATGCTGCTCGCATATAATTAAAGCTCTCTGTCTTCAGTATATGCCTCTCACTCTCCCACTCTTCTCCAGGACTCCGACAGTCTTGAAATCCTTCATCCGTGTTTCCTTGTTCAGGGCCTATTATCTTATTTTGACCTTTTCTAGCCACGATGACCTGGGAGATCAGTGACTTCAGGGTTCGAACCACCACGCCTTCGCAAGAGTCTGATGTCCTGTATGCCAATGGGCGGATGCAGGTGGCTGTCTGCATTTCAATCAAAGCAATCAACAAAGATACTGGTACTCGCTATAAGCTGTCTCAGGCAGAGTTGGATAGCAGCCAGCTTGTAGACTATTACAACTCTAGCAAAACGCTGCAGGGTGATTGGAGCTACTCATCCCAGGAAAATGAGTTTACTCACACCCTGGCCGTGGGAATGTCGGTATCAGACTCTGCACCGAAAGACACACCAACCTATGGCTCCTTCGAGGAGGGTCCTCAGGAGAAATGCTACTGGGTCTCCACAACGAAAGCGGATAACAAACACATTGGGGCGTGTATCACGCAACCCGACGGCACCGTCATATCAACCAGCGACCCGGACTACAAATCGCAGGTCACGCTTACGGGAAAGACGCCCATATATTATACCACAGATAATACTACCCAGGTCTCGAAAGAGACCGATAGTGGGCAGTACAAGGCAAACCTAGTACGCGGAAGCAGATCCACACCAGCCGACGGCCATTGGAAGCAGTATAATTACTATGTCTCGACGAATGTGCATCAACTACTGAAAGCAAATATTTACGGCTATGATGAATCGGGTAACACGAACCCACATCACGACAGCCGGATGTCGCATTCGTTCGCATACGCCCCCAACGATAACTATTTGAACCTCTGTTTCATCTGGGATTACGGGCCACCCTCCAGCACGACAGCAGGTCTTCACTATGAAGGTACGACAACCGTAGCTGGGCAAAACTACAAATACAAGGCCGATGCATGTGCGAATATCGGAGTCAATCAGCAGGAGAGACACCTATGTCTAACACACCTTCGATTCAACGCAGGCGTCAACACTTGGGGTGATAAGTGGCATGTTGGTTGCTGGTTTGAGCTCTATGATATATTTGGAAACACAGGCACAATGTCTGTGAAGTGGGATGATAAGGCCATTGTCTTCCGCGACGGCAAACCATGAGCAGCGGTGGGAGATCCTGTGGAGGATGTATATACTCCGTATACTCTGTATATGCTTTATAACAGGCACTGAAATTGAGCCAATATCTAGGAAAGCAAATATCCTAGCCAGGAGATAGACACCATGGAGGGACTATGAGATTAGGAAAAGAGAGAGGCAAAGGGATCTTTGACTGTCACCAACCACTATTTATATTCCTACTCTTCCTATCTATAAAATAAGTCCGACTCCTACGAAATCCTCAATTGAAGTAACTACGCGCGAGATTGCAGGGACAGAAAAGATGCCTCTCCTTTGGCGTGCGAACTCCTTTCTTCGACAACCCTTGGGTCAGGAGAAAAAAGCATCCAGGCCGCTATTTACTGGCATATTACAGCACAACTCTTCCTGACTTCCAAGGCCTTCCATATTTGTGTCTACCCCGATTTCGTAAAATCCTTGTCTGTGTCTGATGGGATTTTATCTGACCTTCCTCTATACAAAAAGGGTGGGCTTCCTTCTTCTGATGTTTACAACAAAAAATATTTATCAAAACAAGACCTTAGCTCTCTAGAAGAGAGAGAAGTACCGAAAAAAAAGAAGGCAAGAATTGACCCAAGAATAACATGGGTAAATGGAATATCAAGTAATGACGTAGATGGGAACAGTAGTTTGTTCACGGGCGCATCATTCACAATTTCAATCTGAAATCTATCCAATTCTGGGTGGACCATGGTGAGTCAAGTATTCTCTCTCGTCTAGTCCGATTTTAAAATACAATTCTCTTTCACAGAGTATGCCTGATTCCTGAATGGGATTTGGCTAGTCTTTGCATATCATCAATCCTCTGCAATCCTGCTACTGAATAGGTCTAGACAGCTTTCTGTTGACTGCTTCCTGCCTTTGGTCCAACACACTCCTTTGTCCATTCTGCCACCTCTGTGTGTAAGCACTTGTTGGCTTGATTATCTCAATAAGTTAGTTTTTTGCAGTTTGGTACACTGTATAGAATGAAAGTCATGTAAAAAGTGATCAAGCCTTACAGAACTCTTGCAGAAGCTGTACAACAGCTTGAAAATTGAGCCAGCCAAACAAGAGTGGGCGGATTTCTCATATAGTTATAGCATGCAATGGCCCAGCTCTCCTAACAATGGATATTTTCTATCACTCTCTCTCATACATCTTGAGAAGTCAGATGTGGGTAGGCACTTGCCTGCCAAATTGTCGAACAAAAGACTGAAGTATCCTAATAACCAAATCAAGTATACAGTCATGCAAGGTATTCTGATATCTTAAAATTGAACTCACTGTCAGTTCAGAATTACACCCCACGAAACATCTTCAATTGGGTGCTGGTGGTCTTGAGTATCATGTGCTGTTTCTAGGCATTGATACAACTTCCTCTGAATTACTTTGGAGTTCATCAAATCTGATGCAGTTTGCTTGACCATATGTATCAACAACAATTCACATGCAAAGGCAGTATTAAAAATCATACAGTTCTAAGGTTGAACACTGGCAGTTGAAGTAGTTGTATACAGAAAGGGAGGGAAAAGAGATTGATACCATGCTCAGCACAACACATACAACTTCCCCCCGCAGGATTTGTTGGGGACTGCCTGACATTGACATATTGAGTTTCAACATAATAGGATAAAGCACACTGATAATCAGACAAATGGTGATGGGGATCATTGTCTCACATAAAAAATAGAAAAGGGACCTGCTCCAGGCAAAATTGGGCTTGTCAATTTAGGGCTGGGGACATGGAAATGGACTGCTAAAATGCAAAAGAATGATCGTGGAATGAAAGTAAATCATAAGGGCGTAATCTTCACGGTTAGGATGATCAAGGCTATAGCCTTAGAGCATCAAGGATCTTTTTGGCCATTTCCCTATACTGCCACATCCCCCCAGAAACCTTTTTAAATTGGATACCATGGAGTGAGAAGAGAGGAACCTTAACGATTAGTATTTCAAATCGAAGAACTAGGTTTTCACCGGTATCACTCTGTACTCTGGTTGTTGTTTCACCGAGAATGCGCTCTCCCGCACTAGTTTCGCGATTGGCGGCATAGTCATCAGATCCGTCCGAGTTACTGATAAAACTTTGGTCCGGATGGCGCCGAGACGGCCGTGGCTGGTCTTTATTATCTTCACGATCGTGGCTGCGGAGCCCCCCAAAGCTGATTCGACGGCGATGTCCCCCAACCATACCCTGCTGTTCTGGGCTTGGTGGACGCGCCTCCACAACACGCTTAAGGTCTATGCTAGGTGCATGTCGACAACTGAACCCGCCTCTAATTTCGACATACTCGACACCCAATTGCTTTAATACCCGAATAATATCCGATCGAATGAACGGTAACGGCTTGCTGCTGGTTGTGGACACGCTGAACAGGCCTTTGAGATAGACGGGCTTTATGAAGTCTTCTCCGGTATTACCGTTCTCCGCACTTGTACTTGCTTCTGCCAGCTCAGCGTCCGTTTCCTCCGGTACATTTGCTTCCCTGGCTTCTTCCCTGCGGGCCCGCCGGGCTTGAATACTCTCACGGCGAGCATGGCCCAGCGACTTTGTTCTCAATGTCTGTGGCTTATACAGCACCTTTGCGTCTGAAGTATTGATATCTGATGCCTTAGATCTGTGAACGTTCAGGCTCGACCGATCGGATCCACTAGTCAAAGGCGGGTCATGCGGGATTGTCGGTGATAGAGTATCAACTCCCCCCCTCTGAGCACCCTTTCTGCTTCTGAAATCTGCAGAGTTAACGCTAGTTGATCTTCCAAGTAGATTATTCGTTCTAGAAGGGAGCTCGCCAGGGGTGAGTTCTTGTTGCTGGGGTTGGCTGCCGCCGGGGTGCAGTGTCCCAGATGTGCCTTCTCCACGCCGGGTTCTTCGAACGCTAAAACTCTTTCGTGGCGGAAGAAGGTTATCTGGTGACTTCACAGTTAGCGTTGGTCCATGTTGGGCATTGACTTTGTCTTCGCGTCCTCTATCGCGGGTTCTTCTCGTGCTCAAGCGTCTGAGTAGACCGACAGCAGCATTCTCCTTCTTTGGAGGTTGTTCAACTTGGGGTGTAACGATCGCAGGAGAGGCAGGTGCCGAAGGTTTGCCGAGCCTGAGGTTCTTGATCCCTTCAGATACCTCATCGTCGCCATGTGTTCGGGCTCGTGGCCTAGACCTTCCCCCAGTATCCCTGTCTCCCGGAATTTCATAGGCGCTTTGATTCGTATGTGCAGCCTCTGGCGCTGAGATATCTGGAAATTTAACAGGTGGCTCTCCAGGACTATGCGGAACGCCTAGACCACCTGGATGTGCCTCTAGTTTCTCTCTGTTGAGTTTTTCCTTGACGAGATTGTAGATGGCAATAAGGGGGTGATAACCATTGATTGGATCAATGCTCTGATGCGTCGTTTCAAGAGATGTATTCGAAAGCGTTTCTTTGCTGGTGGAATTTCGGCGTTTGTAGAAATCAAATACACCTCTTTTCTTGTCGCTCACATGGCTCGCAGTGTGATGCTCCCTTAAGAAAGCCCGAACTGCATTTTGGTAGTCTTCCGATTCAACTACCTTGTTAAGCTGAGTAGCAATAAATTCAGGGGGGCCAAAATCAAATCCCGTCATGCGCTGAATGACCTCCGACTCCAAGGGCTGCTGTAATGCCTCTCGGTGGGGAAGATAATTTTCAGGAGGCCCGTTAAATCCCTTTACCATCCAAGGATGGTTCATGATTTCAGTTAAACTAGCGCGTTGTTTGGGATCTGTAACAAGCATTCGGGAGATTATATGACGACAATCTAAAAGAAGTAAAATGTTAGAACATCATATGAAGAGAATAGGGGTGTCGCATCTCACCGGATGAAAGCCCTGGTGGGTACTCTACCACGCCCTTTTTGATCTTTGCATGAAGTTGCGGCATACTTTGGTCGTCAAACGGCACTTTGCCGCATACTAACACATATAGCACAATACCAAAGCTCCACACATCAACTTCTGGACCAATATATTGTCGAGCCTGTAGAAGTTCAGGAGCGGCAAAATATAGACTACCACAAAAGGTCTTCAGTTGGCTCTTTGGGGAAAAGAGATTGCTCAGCCCAAAGTCAATGATTTTGATATCTCCCGTTTTGCTGATCAAGATGTTTTCGATTTTCAGATCGCGGTGTACAATGTTGTTTTTGTGGCAGTAATCGAGAGCGCTGGCAATTTGCCGCGCAAACTTACGGGCTTGTTTCTCCTTTAACTTGCCATGTGAGATTATGTAGTCAAGCATTTGGCCACCATTTACATATTCGAACAGCATGTACCAGTGGTTGTGTGTTCGCACAACATCGCGCATTCCGCAAACGTATGGATGGTTCAAGAGGGTGACGATTGCTGCCTCCCTTGCGGTCCGAATCTCCTTCGAGCGGTCTGCTCTTTCGGTATCTCGAGTGCTTCGATGCTCTTCTGTGGAATGTCTCGGTATGATCTTTACAGCGACCTAGAATGAGAGGGTAAAAGTTAGTGTAAAGTATTTTGGGGGAGAGCTCAGGGGTTTAAGCATGCCTGTTCACCGGTTTCAACGTTTTTCGCAAGTTTTACTTTTCCCATGCTCCCAGCGCCGATTGTCTTGCCCAAGGCCCATTGGCCCGACGATGTGGTGATTGTGGTGCGTCGCCGGGTTTGATTAGTGATACCAGAACTGTTGGGAGGGGGGTTGTGGGATGTGCGTCCAGCGGCGTATCCGTCCGCCACCGCAGCGTTGGGGCCTGTCATCTCAGCGCTATTCCGGGAGTATGAAGGCTTGGAAGTGCGACGATGCGATCGAGAATCAGTCCGATACGGCAAATTGTGGTCCTGTGTGCGATCGCGGGATGAGCTACGGCGAGTCGAGTTGGAGTGAGCGGTGCTTGAGGGTTGGTAATCTCGTCGGGCAAGGCTATTTGAAGGACCCTTGTGGGATGCTGAACGATCGTACCCGTGAGATCGGGGGCCTGATTGGCTGCGAGAATGAGAATGTTTCGTAGATGGTGCACCGCTGCTACGAGTCCTTTGCGGGAGGTCGGAGGGAGGTCGATAAGATGAATGCGGGTGCGATGCAGCAGGATTGCGAACTACCACTGGTGAAGCTTGCGATGCTGCTGCGGACATTGCGATGAGCGATTGCGTCAGGATTCGAGGTCCAAATTCCTCAGCGCGTCTCCTAGTTCCCCAGTCGTGAAGGACCGATTCGGTGCTTCCCTTCCAACTGACTGGAAACCAAGGAGGGGAGACCTAAGCGATATGAAACTGGACCAGGGAGCGAAGAGCGATGTGGCCGGAAAAACGCTCGAGTTTCGACCACAAATGTCATCCAGCCAGCCCCTGGTGGCTCGACAGATCAATCACTGATGAATTCTGCATGACTTTTGCGAGTTAGTGTATATCGAAGCTTTGCGATGAGAATTGCTGGTCGAGGAAACAGGTTGGAAGCCGTCACTTGGGGTAAACTTACACTAAGCACAAGTGTGGAGAGGTGGTGGAGTGGGCGTTTTTGTATGGAAAGCTGCTGTCACGAAGAAACTAATGGCGGCGGTACGAAGCGCAGAGGCTGGCGAGAAGGGCTGGTATTGTAAAACCGACCCCGGATCTGTGTAAGAAAGCAGAGGAGGGTTGGATGTCATTCAGAAGCCATCCGTCCCGCCCGACTTTGAGGGTGATAAGAGGACATGCTCTCCGCAAAGCGAGAATTAAAATAGATAAATGCCGCTTCGCTCGTCGTTTGAGTCGTTGAACAGGTGCGCGCTGACACCCCGTGATTCCACCGCCTGCCCAACCGGTTTGTCATGTAACTATGGCATACCAGAGCAGCCAACTTGTATTTTCAAAACAAATCCTACTATAAACACTTGATAATAATACAAAATTTTATCTAAAAATGTATATATCAGTAGTTTTTAACTTTTAATCAACATCCTTTCTCTGTCCCATGACTGAAAGACAAAGATTAGGAGTGAAGCAAGGCAAGACTCTCCAAGCATGGAAGTTCTTGAATATAAATAACTTGTTTGATTTTTCTATGTTCTAGCATTGAGGCCAGTTATCATGTTTGTGTGTTAGACACTAAGAAAATAGAAAAATGAGAGCTGACAAGTCAATAATGGAAAGTATCCAAGACACCAAGACATTCATCCTTGAGGGTATCCACTATATGTCTGTCAAGGGGGGAGAACGAAGGTTTGGGCTCCTTGAATTCGAGTAATCAGCGGCATTCTTTGGCACAGGAGAGGCGGTAAAAGTACATACCGCTTTGCATAAATCCGTACCCCAATGCATCCAGTGATGGCTTTAATGTCATCAAAGAGGTCTGAAATGTGCGTCATGTAGCTTATTGGACCCTGTGTGTGTCCCCCAAAAATCATCCCAATGACCTCCCCATACCTTGTGAAAACAAAAGAACCAGAGTCACCAGGGTTGGAAAACCTTCCAGATATGCCAACAATAGCATGCTCCATTGTCACTTTTGTTTCCTGTTCACCATGTTCATTGATCTTGGTGGCCACATGAGCGCTCTTGATGCCATTGTACCGCCCAGCTGTAAATCTGGTCGACCGGCCGACTTTATAAAGGTCATCAGTACCACTGTCCTCATTGCTAACTAAAGGCCTAATCACGTCCCAATTCCTAAGGGTGGTCAGGTGATGGATTGCGTGAAAAATTGGCGTCCCATGTATGGTGATCTATTTTGAGAAGTCTAGTGTTAGTCCAAAGTGAACAACAAGTCCAAAATGCTAAACTTACATTGTTGTCCCCAACACGGGAGTCTTCAACATCAATTAATGCCCAGTCCATAATCGCCTCATAATCACTATGGTTTTCTCTCAATATAGGCTTTTCGCGATATCCAGAACCTGCATAGACATGCCTGAGATAGGGAGCTCCAGAATCACGAAATTGTTCAATATGCAATTTCTTGGCCATATGTTTCTGAAGGGAGGCTTTGATGCTCTTGTATAATTCAGAGTCAGGGGGGGTTATGAATTCATCAGCTTGTAGAGCTGTCTGAATTGAGGCATAGCATTTGTGGTTCTGATCAACCTTGATAAATTCATCAAGTACTGCCAGTTCATTTTCAATATCATGCATGCTTGGCTGGTCAACCTTCAAATATTCCTTGGCATCAGCATCATTTGCGGAGATCCCATTTGTATACCACCTGGTGAGAACTAAGGAATCAGAGACATTCCAACACGATTTTGAGAGATAATACTTACGTTGTGGCGGTGCGGTATTTGCCTGTTCTTTTGGATCAACACAATGGAAGCATGTTAGGCCTAACTGTATCCATCTTTCAGTGGTCGCATCCTGGATTTCTACCCAGCCGCCAAAGGTCCCGGACGAGTTAGATATTCCATGTTTCCCAAGGCTGAGGCCAGCCTGCCCAGCGTCCTTCATGTCATCCCACGGTAACATCCACGGCGTAGCACTTCTTTCAATTTCCCCTTTAGCAATGATCACGCCGACCGTTGGCAGTTCAAAATTGTTGAGGATGTCGACTATCTGTTCTCGGGTCTGTTTATATTTACTCTCAGAGGGAGATACTGTGACAATGATTGTTTGTGGATTCTTGCCATCAGTGCCCCTTCCATATCGAAAACACTCTATAGCCCGGCAATTGTTGATGCCTAGATCCAAGATTGCAGCACAGACAGCATCCCATTTTGGGTAGATTGTATCAGTAGGGTGAATGGGATCATATTGCATAGGCTCAAACACTCGAGGATCTGCTATCTCAACAGACACATCATTCAAATTCTTCTTCTGAAGAAGACCATGGATCTCTCTGCTGGCATGAAGCCATGTTCGATCCAATTGTGACTTTCTCGCGGAAATAAGAATGGTCGGTATCCTAGGTTCTTCAGGATCCCACTCAGCTTGGCATTGACAAAAGTCAATTGAATTAAATGTGATAGAGTGTGCCTCTAAGATGGATCGGATAGCATTGAATAACTGCCCGGGATCGCGGTCTGTTTCTATAGCAAGGGGATGGGTTCTTGGGAACGGAAACAATGAAACTGGAAGCGGGCAGAGGTACGGCCCTCCAGCCCTCAAGTCTTCATTAATAAACCCGCTAGGCGGTTCGTCTTCGTTGTCATCGCTTGAACCTCTCGCACGCCTGGCGCGGCCATCGCCTGAAAACACAGGGGCGGGTTCTGAGGGCGATGCCCAGACAATCTCGGTGTCGGATCCACGATTCGGTCGATCCGAGAAGGGGGTGGCCATGGTAGTAGCCTTGTCGCTGTCTGGAGTGACTGTAAGCGACTCGAGCGAGGAGAGCAGTGTAAAATGGCGTCCTTTTCGGCGATTTGAAAAAAAATTTGACTTAAAGACGGCAGAGATTTTGTATTGTTAGATTCATAGCCAGAAGGTACTGGGACGGAGAGCACATCTTCTTATATATTGGTCAGTGACCTCCACGTGACATCGAGGGAAAACTTACCGGATCCATGGCGGACGCGGTTGATTGTTTTGACCCCACGGGTAGCTTCTGGGGGAACGCAGGCCATACTTTTGAAGGCCATGGCTGCTGTAGACTTCTTAACACAAAGGTAAAAACAAAGCCCCTCGAAAACCAAAGAGGCAGAATCAATGCCAGGAAGCTTGAGGCTCAAAGGGTTGTCAAAGTTGTAGAGAGTGAAGGGTTTGACCTCTTCAAGGCCGGCCTCAAAGCAGAGGTTTCAAAAGAACCCAAGTGGCTAGTTCGTTAGTAATTGAGGTCAACTAACACCCGGGCATCCCTATTTTTCGTCATAGCCCTCAAAGGAGTACAGACAACAACTTTCAAAGGTCACTCTTATAGAGAGCGTTGAGAGAAAGAAAAAAAAAAGAGGTTCAGAGAAAGCCAAGAAAGTCATCCATTATGAAAATAGCATAGCAAATCCCGACAAGAACAAACAGAAAAGGCATGGCGAACCATCACTACAGCTTGGTATACAGTGCTAATGGCAGCACCGATTGCCCCGAGTTGAAGCGTGGGAACCATGTCGTTTGGGTATCAAACGGGTCGCTTGAGCAAGGAACCATTTCGAGAGCAAGGTTCCTGATGGATATAAATGACAAGGCTCTTTGAGGAAAAATGAAAGATTCGGACCTTCTATGTCAGGGTGATGCAGTTTGACAATATTAGTGGTCATGCAACATGGACAGTTGGAAGTTGACTGACTTGCAAGTAGGGACCCTGTTTTGTGTACAGTCTCAGGGTTGTGCTATGGAGATATGGTGACTGTCCACCAATTGTTTTCAGCAGTTTAACTGCGGATATAAACCTTTCTTCAAGCCTTCAGTTGCCAGTCCCAAAAGTGCTGAGTACTCTCTGGGGAAAGTCCAACTCTTCTCTCATTCTAGCAGACTAGAATGGAGTACGGAGTTTCTAGGGCTTGACTCTGACCTCATAGGCGGGTTTGATAACCAACCTGCTGAAGGGGCACCGGCTGTTGTCTTTCCAGTCAGGCCCAGATCTGTGAGTTAGAGCTTGTTGAAAATGTGAGTTGGCTGCTATGGTATGCTGTAACTAGTCGCATTCACATCTGCCACCATCGCGCTTATGTAAGACACCGAGGTGCCCTGATGCGATCAGCTGTGGGAGCCAGCACTCTGGGGGAGGCACCAGACCGTGTCGACCTGGACTATCACCCGGAGCGGATAGTTTGTCTTCTACTAAATGACTCCCTGCAACTGGTTCCTTACCGGCCCTCCCAAATGATGCCACAGTAGGCAATGAGATTCCGATATTGCACTCGCGCGAAGATGTTCTCCAGCTTTCGTTTCCCTTATTCTCGATAAACCTATCCACAGCGGGGAGCAACAGGGATATCTTAGGTGCTGTTACGCATCTACACTCGCAGAAGTCATGTCCTCTAAGCGATCATGGGGGGTTTTCGAGGCAGACTCTCTACACTCATCACATTCTCCATTTGTCTTTTATGGCACCCCGTTGCCAGCCGCTGATCACCAGTCGCGAGATGACGGCTCCTACGTGCCAATTTGGAAACAAGAAGTGACCGATGAGCGGGGCCGGAAGCGATTACACGGTGCGTTTACTGGTGGTTTTAGTGCAGGGTGAGTTCCCAGTTTAGCCCAGCAGAATAACATGCTAATCCACTTTTTCAATAGGTATTTTAATACAGTTGGCTCGAAAGAAGGATGGACACCGTCAACATTTGTCTCATCTCGTCGAGACCGCGCAAAGGATCGAAAACAATCAGCCCAACAGCGGCCGGAAGACTTTATGGATGAAGAAGATCTCCGAGAAGCCGAAGAAGCCCAGAAACTGCATACTACGGACGAGTTTACCGGAATCGGATCAACAGCGACGGATCCCCATAGAAGGGCGGCGCTTGTGGATATTTTTAGGCCAAGCGGTGAAACTATAGGCGTCAGGCTCTTGAAAAGAATGGGTTGGAAAGATGGCCAAGGGGTTGGGCCTAAAGTAAGGCGAAAAGCAAATTTACATGATGAAAATGATGACGACGGTCAGACTTATCTTTTCGCTCCGGAGAATACTCCTATGATCTCATTTAACAGGAAAGATGATTCAAAGGGACTCGGTTTTAGAGGAGAGTCACGATTACGGCCTTCATTGGGATCCGGACGGGGAACAAGAACAGAGGAAGAAGATGATGGCGATTCTGTCCCAGAGACATTTGGTGGGCCAAAGCTGTCGTTGCATAAAATTACAAATAACAGACAAAAGCCTCTTAGACGAGGTGGGTTTGGAGTTGGTATACTTAACGACACGGGCTCGGACGATGAGGACCCTTACGAAATGGGGCCTCAGTTGTCGTCCAGCCGAGTGATCATGGACGATAAGAAACCAAAAGAGCCAAAATCCACGATCAGGTCCGCTAACCCGCTCTTGAACAAAAAGCCTATTTTCATTTCCAAAAAGGCAGCGACAGAGAAGGCAAGGCTGGGACTTCGGAAGTGCCATGATGGTCGGCTCCCAATTGATGGTTTCGTGCTTGGGACTCGGATGGCGGATTTGTCTCTAGCCGCGACTACGGTTGAATATGCTCCTCCTGACGTCCCTACCGACTGGGAGTCCTCTAAACTACGGCAGCATTCCACGAAAGATAACGCTGGGTATGTGTCAGTAGCCGAGGCCGCAAAATCATCTTCGTTGGACCCAAAATCAAGAGCTGCCATGTTTGGTGAAGCGCAGCTCCCTGGAAAGTCCATATTCGATTATATGACACCCGAGAGCCGGGAACGATTAGTAAAAGCAACCGGAAAAACAGACCTGCCTCCTGCGTTAGGTGAAGGTCCACCAAAAGGTTTCGAGCGATCAGAATCTCAGAGACAACGGGATCTGTGGAGCTTAGTTCCTCATCTTGAAAAGGACACAGCAATACAGGCACTTAACCGCGGTGCCAGTGGGTGGATGCCGTATTCGGAAGATGAATCTAAGCGTAGTCGCTACCGTTCATTCCTCGAAGTTCAAGCCGGAATCACAGATAAACTTCCGCCTCGGAGCTCAGGGGCGTCCACGAATGAGTGGGTGGTTGAGCTCAATGAATTTGCTCGTGCTGCAGAAGTGTTCAAACCCATGTCCGGTTTGATGGCTTCGCGGTTCACTTCATCCACTTCTCTCACGCCTACTCCATCTAATGGCGATAATGAATCCGACCAGCTCCTCCGAAAGCCCCCAGCGAAACCAGAAGATCCAGCTGAAGCTGCTGCCAAGTTTGGAATGTATGGTCCAATGACACGGCTTACCCTACGATTCTCCCCAACACGATTGCTGTATAAACGGTTCAACCTTCGGTTTGCTCCTCCAAGGGCAGATTCTGGCTCTGGGCAAGGCACTCCAGGAGAGACGCCTGCAGAACCAGCAAATGAACGCAGCCTTGAACTCGTCTCTAAAGAGACTATGAACCAACTGATGACGGAATCGCGAATGTCTATACCCGGGGCTCGGCCAGGAAAAGAGCCACAACAAGCACCCCCAGATTTGAGTAAGGCTCTAGTTGACCCCGACCGTAATGAGGCGCTAGAAGCTGCACGTCCTGGAGACGCCGTATTCAAGGCTATATTTGGCAGCGACGACGAAGATGGCGGCGAACTTGATTGATTTTTGTAAACCTAGGAAGCCGTTAATTCGCAGCTTTGTACAGAGTGTTGCATTCTGAAAACTTCTGTAGTATCAATATACTAGTCATAACTAATGCAGGGACTAGCTATAAAAACGAGATGACGTATTGGGAATATGCTATCAGTTAACCCTTTTGTATAGATCACAGTTGATATTTCTGCGGCCATCGACGCTTGACTGGGGAGTGGGCGGATGGAGGTACTGTACATGCATACATAACTATAGAATCAGGGTAAGGTACCGTTTATCAGTGTGACTTGTCATTGCACAGAGCACAGGTGGCGGAACAAGTACCTCCATTGAGAGTTACACAGCGTTGTGTTCCCCACAATCCCCAGCTGTCACTTGTGTCGGCATGTCGCGCATGGTCTCGGCATTGCAATTCCAGAGTGACACTATTCTTAGCACCCTTCTCACTTGCTGAAGCTCCTCTCGGCTCACCTTTTGACCTCCCCTTACGCGCTCTCCTCGTCAGCCCTCCTCTCATCCGTCTGAGTGTGCTTTGATGAAGAGATTTGTTTGCACAGTGGAAGGCTGATTTGCATCATGAGCCATGGTGAGTCTTGCTTATTCTGTGGATTTTGGCTGCCCCCCAAGTTCCACACCTTGGGGAGGAGGGGAAGTTATGCACCTTTTTTGAGTCCTCCTTGCAACATAAACCAACGATGCCTCTGGCGGAGAGCCCCCGTGCAGGGATTTCGCTGGCTATGGCTATCTGGCGTACAAAGTCAGCGCAGCTAGACTTCTTCAGCAGATTCGTTGCCCTCTAATCTACTGTACTGTGCCGTTGCTGACTCTTGCTTGTTTGGATTTAGGGCTGCTGTCTGTCGCGAGACCCTGCCGGCGTCCCTTATCCTGCTAATGTCGATCACGACCAGCAGCACGAATCAACCCGAGCTATCAACTCCGTTGCTGATGGCAGTGCTTCAAATCCCCCAGCCTTGGACAACAGCCTCTCCCGCTCCCATTCCTCTGCTTCTCACCCGTTACAGTCTTCTCGCCGCCGCCGCCAAAATGTCTCTTTAGGTGAACATTATAACCAGGCTATACGACCGCATGCCTGGCGCAGTAAGCGTCGTGTTTGGTCGAAAGCTCAAATAGCCCGTGAACGAGAAGAATTCTTTGAGACACGGGTGACGGGAAGGCCGGAAGTGTGGGCGGCTCTGAAATTGGCAATCTCACTAATGAGAGCCGGTGATATTCCCACCGCCCAGAGCATCATCGATGCTGCCGGGGTGACCGTTCCTACAGGAGACCTTTGCGATGGTTGTTATGATGAGAATGGGGCGCTGTACCGGCTCCCGCAGGTTATTGTTGCGGACCCTACGAATGTTGTCGATGCAGCAGCCGAAGATCAGGAGATTAGGAGAGGCGCTGAAGCAGACGACGAAATCACCAATGGCAAACTAGGAATGGATATCGATACAGAGGATGAATTCGAGGAGCAGATCGAGAACAAACGCGAAGAAAAGGGTAAGAGAAATGAACGGGACGTGATTAAAGTCTGTGCGAGGTTGAGCGACAGAGGTGGCCCCGATTTTACTGTTGAAATTGACAAGCATCATTCTGTGAGCGTCTTGGTACGAAAATTAGAGAGTGAGGCAGCGGTAAGCATCCATCGCTCCTAAACTTGCATACCAGCCCGAACATTATCTGTTGACATCTAGTTTAGCTCTCGAGTAAACACCGCCTTCGAATTGCATACTTGGGCAAAATTTTAAAAGAAAACGAAACTCTTCTTGCCCAAGGATGGAAAGAAGGTCATGTTGTTAACGGACTCGTCCTTTATCGCTCTCCTTAACCTATCGTCATCGCTCTTCGTGCTTTACTCTGTACCCATACGGTTTTCCGGGTATCTGGCTCTCGAATCGCACTTCAAGGTCAACACTTTTAGCCATATGATGTGATTCTCGGGCGGATTATGCATATACGGCGCCAGGTTCTCGAGTTTTCTAATGCTTCTTGTTTGAGTGGACATTTTGCCGTGATGTATTCCTCATACTCTATGCGCTTTTCTTAATTTTGCGCCCCTAATTACACTCCCCTCCTCTTTACCAGCAGATACCGGCATTGACGTGTTGAGATACCCCCATAGCATGCACTTGCTAGTCTCGCATGCCGCTTCCTCGCCGCTTCTACCTAATTTAGCTCTGCCATTTCCCTGAGGCGTTTAAGCGTGGGTGTGCCTGGCGTATGATCGGGTTCGAGGAGAGCCATAAGGCCTGATTTCTTCCCTGACCCGAGTGATTCTGGTTCTCAGCCATTTTCCTACATATTTTATGAGAATGATAATAATTGCACATGAAATAATAGCTAAACAAGCCTAATATTTTAGCTAAACCTCCAGGAGAAACTCTCGGTGACGACGGAAAGACCACAGCCTTTGGGTCAGGTACCTCATCATCTCAATCCAAGATGCTAAGTTCAGGCACGAGTATTTAAAATGCAGCATCTTGGCAGTAATTTTCTTAATATGATTTATCTAACGGGATTGCCCTGAGCTGTCTGCTTTCATCCTACTTTCTGGGATTTCATTCAGTGGCTTCGCACCAAAATAAAAAAAGACAGAACAGGTTGATTGGGACAGCTTTGTTCAGCCAGACCCAGAGGTGAAAACTAAGTATGAAAGTTCTACCTTGGTGTATCTAGATCGAATGGAAGAGGAATTTTATGAGGTATGTTGCTTTGCCCATGGGTAGAAGATGTCCGTGAAACGACGCATCTTTTGCACAAAGTTCGGTTCTTCAACTTGATTTCGAATACGATTGACTTTGCTATTCAGAGATTTAGTAAGTTTCTCCCCGAGTTACTATTACTGTAGAATATCCAATTTCTTCTTTCTTTGCGGTATATCACAGCATTGCCGTTGGAAACGGTGCTCCTCTCTGCAAACAATGCAAACTTGGCAAACCGGACAAACTGCAGCTCTGATTTTTAGATGGCTCGTCACTATTGAGAAATTTTGGAATGCAGCTTATCCAGAGCGAAGGTTAGAATACAGCAATTGATCATATATCTTGGTTAAAGAAGTCATTTGAATTTTCCCATCTTGGACGATTGCCCGGGTCTCGAAAATCCTCTCACTGCAAGCATTTGGCGGCATCAACATCTTTTTCCAAGCAGGAGCCAGCACAAGATGGCAGACCTGCAACAGTCACCGTTCTTAAGGGAGCTGACATCGAGTGGTAAGTGCATATACCTTTACTCCACATGAAACCGCCTGCGATATACAATTGACTAATGCTTGCGCAGAACGACGGACCCGCGACAAAGCATTGGACTCACTCACATTATTCCTCAAGAGCCGTCGTGATCTACAGCTGGTCGATCTCTTAAAAATATGGAAAGGCTTATTCTTTTGTATGTTCAACGCACTGGCCTCGCTAGCTATCAGACTTGAGGGCGAAGGCGCAAAGTCCCAACCCTTTCAACGCGCTCAGTGCTGACGTTTTCTCTTCTTCAACAGGTATGTACCACTGCGACAAGCCCTTAAACCAGCAGACCCTCTCCCGTTCACTCTCATACACCCTCGTACCCAGCTTGCCTGAGCAAGTTGTCCAACCCTTCTTGCGCGCATTCTGGATGACGATGTCCCGAGACTTCCATTCTCTGGACCGGTTAAGACTGGACAAATACCTATTCTTACTACGCTGCTATATCGGCGTCGCATTTGAAATATTCATTAAAAAGGGTCTCAGCGCCCAAAAAGCCGGGAATCAAAGGGGTACAACCCGAGAACAAAAGGAGATCAACGGCAAAAAGAGAAAACGAGCCGATGAGGCCGAAGAAACCGATAGCTGGGCGGGTCTGGAAACGTACCTTGATATGCTTGAAGAAGGACCACTGTCTCCGGTCAATTTTGACGGCAAGCAGTCCGATTCTTCGGCAATGCCAAAGGGCCCGGACGGCATCCGATATCATATTATGGATATTTGGCTTGACGAGCTGGAAAAATGCGCCACGGATGAGGTTGAGGATGATGAAGATGTGACAAAGACGAAATTGAAAGATGGTGTTCCAATGGATTTGATTCTTCGTCCAATTGAGCGGTTAAAGGAGACAAGTCCAAACAAGACTGTTCGGAAAAGGGCGGCAGAGACTTTACAAGACGAGAGACTAGTGTTGTGGGGTGTGAGGGAGAGAGAAGCAATTGAGGGTTCCGATGAAGATGAAGACGAGTGGGGAGGGATAGAAGACTAAATCTGCTCTTTAGGGTAGTGACTTAATATACAATTATCCTTTTGCAGCAATTGGAGAGAAGTATCTCCTAATAATAGGTGTTATTCCTAGTACTGGTTTTTCGTACTTCCTCGCCTGCAGATGATATTGCGAGAGAGGACTTGCTGGAAACTCCCGCCGACCGTCACTAAAAAGAGAAAGTTGAAGGAGAGGTTTGAATACAGATAGGCGACAGTTTTAAGAAGCATGTTGCGAAGAGAGGGTATAAAGAATCTTGAGCAAGGGAACCGCACCACTGCCTGAAACAGGAAGAAAATCCGAATAGTAAAAGTACACAATCTAACCTTCTTAACGCCAACGCTCGACCACTGGCCACCGAGGTAGGAACTAGCTGCAAAGAAAGGCGCCTACAGCCCCTAAATCCCGGGGGTTTCGTACTTGTACCCAGATTTCGAGATCACGGTCCCAAGTCCTGGGTGGACCTCTGCCTGGAAGGGTTCAAACGGCACCTTCTCTCCATCGATACTTATATAACCATCCTCTCTGTCTCGGGGGATGATTCTGTAACCTGAAACTTTTCGAATATTCACCTCTGGCATGTCGAATAGAGTACCGTTTTCAACAGCCATGAGCATCTGAAGCGCGGTTAGGCGAGGAATGTCCCCACGGATTGTTATCAGGTCCAGTAGCCCGTCATTTGGTAGTGCAGTTGGGAAAAAATTGGCATCGGGCGCCATGTACGCCATGTTTCCAGCGTAAAAATTGCCCATTTTGTCGTGGGTTATGAGCTCCCAGTCGTCGGGAAGAGGATCTGTGACAGTGCCATATCTGAGGGGTGGGAGACCCGGGCTTCTAGGCTCGTCTCCTGCGGTCGAATGAGCTGACTTTTGCTGCGATTCCGATCGATAATGGTCCTTGATACGTTCCTTCCCATCAACTTCGACTTTGACAGCAAGATCACATGGATATACTGTTTTTCCAAGCAATCGAACCAAAAACCCGTACGTAAAACGCGCGCTTCCCATCCACCGGATATTGTCTGTACCAAGATCGCTTTCGGCAATAATACCGAAAGATTGGGACAAAAAGGATAGTATTCTTCGGTCTCCTTGTGTGATGGAGACAAGGTCCAACGGCGTTCTCAAGCCTTTGACAATGCAAAGTGCAGCCATGCTCGGAGTGCCTGAACCATAAAGGTTATAACTCATCGCATTCCCCGAGCCACATGGGATATGAGCTACCGCAAGTTTGGAAAGTGCTTCACATGCATCAGCTCTCTGGCCTAGGCCGTTGAAAACCTCGTATACCACACCATCCCCGGATGCAGGAACAATCACGTCGTACGCTTGAATATCGATTTTCTGCGCAATCTCCACAGCATGGTCTTGATGTGTTGTTGTTTCAACATCCACTTCACACTGAGCTGCGGCAAAAATCGGCTCGACCTGGTTTGGGAATACTGTTTTTCGGGC